AATGGCCTTGTTACTTTTGTAAGGAGTGGACTCCATGATAATTGGGATGATGCAGAAGGATACTACAGTTATCAGTTTGGTGAACTACTTGATGATAGGTATGAAATCATGGCTACTCATGGAAAAGGTGTCTTCTCTACCGTGGTGCGGGCAAAAGACACAAAACCTGAACTAGCTGAACCTGAGGAAGTGGCTATAAAATTTATTCGGAACAATGAGACAATGCATAAGGCTGGCCAGGCTGAGATTCGGATATTGAAGAAGCTAGCTGGCTCTGACCCAGAGAATAAGCGCCACTGCGTCCGTCTTCTTTCAACTTTTAAATATAGGAACCACCTTTGCTTGGTGTTTGAGTCTCTTCATCTGAATCTCCGTGAAGTTGTGAAGAAGATTGGTGTCAACATTGGTCTAAAACTATCTGATGTTAGAGTGTATGCTGAGCAGTTATTCATATCCCTTAAACATCTCAAGAATTGTGGGGTTCTTCACTGCGATATAAAGCCTGACAACATACTAGTGAATGAGGGGAGAAACATGTTAAAGCTTTGTGACTTTGGTAGTGCAATGTTTGCTGGTGAAAACCAAGTTACACCATATCTTGTTAGTCGCTTCTACAGAGCTCCAGAAATCATTCTTGGACTATCCTACGACCATCCGTTAGATATCTGGTCTGTGGGTTGTTGCCTGTATGAGCTTTATAGCGGGAAAATTATGTTCCCTGGCTCCACAAACAATGATATGTTACGCCTTCATATGGAACTGAAAGGTCCCTTCCCTAAAAAGATGCTTCGCAAAGGAGCATTTATCGATCAGCACTTCGATAAGGACTTATGCTTCTATGCTACAGAGGAGGATAGTGTTACTGGAAAGACCATAAGGAGAATAATGGTAAACATAAAGCCAAAAGATTTAGGTTCAGTAATTAGACGACGTTATGAGGATGAAGATCCCAAAGTGTTGGTTCATTTCAGGAATCTTCTGGACAAAATTTTCACACTTGATCCTCAAAAGAGACTTACAGTGTCACAGGCATTAGCTCACCCATTCATCACGGGCAAATGAACCTCGTAATGTTGTTGCCCTGGATACATGTACATTGTATATATTACACAATTATTATTTTTGTTTAAGATTCTAAAGTGTGTTAGTGACGATGTTGTTCTCAGATTCATCATTCAGTTTTGACAGTAGGAAAAAAATGCAACGATTTAATTTAACCTTAAGAGTAACCACAGTAGTAGAGATTCTATGAGTCTCTCAAATATATTATTATAATACTTTTAATATTATTTTAAATTAAAAATTAAAAATAAAAAGATAAAACCAATGTGATTTTGACACGTAGGAAAGAAGTCTCTAAAGAGGTTTTCAATTGTTTTCAAATGAGAATCGATTCTCTTCTCTCTCTCCTTTTTTTTATTATTTTTCTTTTTAATATTGGTTAGAGCCTCCCACTGTGTGAATCAAAATTGCATACTCTAAGGGTGTTTGGATCAAAATTGCATACTTTTTTGAATTTAGTGGTTAAGAAAATAAATGCTTGTATAGAACTGTTTTTTTTTTTTTTTTTTTTTTTTTTTTTTTTTGTTTCATTGCACAACCGAATATACTTTATGTCTGCAAACATTATTTTGCTTTCAACATCTATTTCCTGAAGACATTGCTTTTCAATCTTTGTATTTCTCTAATATCTTATTTCTTTTTTCATTTTATTTCTTCACTTGACATTTCTTTTTAACAAAAAAATATATATGACATGAGAATATTTCATGAATGACTATGATTCTGAATGGTGAAAACTCACGGCAACAAACTAGTTACTAGACAATTGTGAATGGTGAAAACTCACGGCAACAAATGAAGAGTAAGAGTTTTTTTTTGGTGTGCAATGAAGAGTAAGAGTTAAAGAAGAGGAAATTGTGATTTAAGCGATTTTTATAGAATTTTTTGCATGTCAAAACGATTTCTAAAGAATTTTAGAAAGTGGTACGTATTACAAATATAATTACAAATATGATTGGTAGAAATTTGAAACGATTCTAGGATTGGGTATTTTACCTTTATTCAAATTTTAGTATTTTATTATTTTTATTATATATACACACATTAATAAATACATGTTATATATTACTTTTATAAAATAAAGTTACCGTATAGTCAATTTTTGTATTTGTTTTTTTTTTGTTTTGTTTTATTTTTATAATTACAAGTATGATTGGTAGAAATTTGAAATGATTCTAGGATTGGGTATTTTACCTTTACTCAAATTTTAGTATTTTATTATTTTTATTATATATGCACACATTAATAAATACATGTTATATATAACTTTTATAAAATAAATGTACCGTATAGTAAATTTTTGTATTTGTTTTTTTTTGTTTTGTTTTATTTTTATAGTGTGTATAACGTTTTACAAATATCTGATTTCTTTTTATATGTATATAGTTTTCAGCGACTAATATATTTCAAGAACCTTACTTTTTTTTTTATTAAAGATACACATGGTGCACAACCATAATTTAAATTAAACTTAAAATATTTAACATAGACTTTCAATTTTTAAAACTATTCTTTTAACCTTTAAATCACAATGATTTGTTAAAATGATAACTTATAATTTATTTTATTACATAATTTTAATATAAAATTATTATTACTATTATGTTACTGGATTTTGTAAATTTTTTACTCATTTTCGTAACTAAAGGAGAAACCCACAATCTCAATGTTAGCAGAAAATCAAGGAAACACTACTTTACTATTATTTGATAACGCAATTACACCGTATAAAACGTAGATAAAAATACAAATATTTGTCACCATTATATATATTTTTTTTTCTATACTCACTTAACATCATTATTTTGTTTATAAAGTCAGACTATAATTTACAAAAATGAAATATCTAAAAATAATATTGAACCAAATCAAACAAAAAAACAGAATAGACAAGCTTATTTAAATTTATATATTTGTATTATTTAGTGATTTAAAAATCCCAACAATTAGGAAAATGAACTATTCGTCCAATTAAGATATTTTATAAATTTTGTTTATGTTAATAAAAGCTTATGTGTATATTTATTTTAATTGGATTGATTTTATTTTTTAAATGAAATATCAGCCTCTCGTAAGACATAAAGTAATAAAAGTGATTAGTGGCTTAATTAAGAATATAGTTATTAAACCAAATTCTAGTAGTACAAAATCAAAGTTTTGGTGGAGGTGAATATCAAAAAAAATATGTGTAAACTGAATCGGTACATGTTGATTGTTGAGTTATATAGTAATTTTTTTTTATAAACGTCTTAAATATAATTGTGTTACGTAAAAATAACTATAGATATAAAGTTTATATTTAGATATTTGATCAATTCCATCAAATAATAATAATAATAATAATAATTTTTTATGTGTCAACATTACATAAGCTATTGTGTATTCATTTTATTTATAATTTGATTTTTTTTTCTTTGAACAAATTAGAAATCCATGTATCATTATTATAAAAAAAAATTATGTGTATTATATGTTTTAATTTGATTGATTGTCTTTTTAAAATGATGTATTTTTTTAATAGATAGCTGATGTGGCATAGAAAGCTGATGTGGCATGCTGGAGAGATGAGTTGTATTAATTGTTATGTTTTGATTGGGTATCATTTTTAATAATGTGTCATTCTCACAAGAACTTAAAAAGCTGATGTGTCATTGCTGGAGAGACTATTAGTAGTTTTATTGTATTGATTAATTATTTCTAATATCTTCAACATAAATTTTTCATGTTGTTATCATTTTTCTAAGCATGATTTTTTTAATAATAAAATTTAAATATTCGAGTGCAAGATACGATGTTTTGTAAATTCACATCAATCACATAAATTCAGTGATTGATTCAAACTTTTTAAGTATGTAAATGCGAGATAATCAAGTTACAGTTGGGATCTAAAATGATACGAGAGAATAATCTATTGCAAAGATGATGGATATGCAAACGAAATTTGAAAAGGCATGGATATACTAATATGAAGAGGATGGATATGTGAACAAAAATTGAACGAAAATTTTTCATAATTAGAATACCGCAAAGCTAGACTATTTTGAAGTTATATAAAAAAAATTTCTCTTCACCACCAGCGGCAAAACAAAACTCAAATTCTGAAATCAAAAATTCTGAGAGAAAAATGTCATCGCAAGAGACTACTATAGAGAAAATGCTTGAGTTCCAAGCTCTATTGATTGATCTCTCAAAGAGATTACACCTATCATTCCCCAAGTAGCAGACGAAGAAATTCAAAGAAGAATGACGCGAAAGGCTAATACGGCGGTCTTAGATATGTTGCCTAGGATAATTGTTTTGGTGGGCGGAGACGGTAGGTACGATAGCTGGCTTTCAATGTTATCTCGTATACCATGGGTATACAACAAAAAGTGAATATTGTTACGATTATTGTCATCACAATATATAAAGATTCGGTCACAATAAGTCTATTGTGACGAAACTGACACTAATTCTAGAATATCACAATAAAATCGTCACAAATCTATATATGTCTCAAAAAATTCACAAATGAATGTGACGATTAACAACGGTAACAATTGGTCACTGATTGTGACGACATTCATTTAGTCGCAAAAAAGCCACAATTCGTGACGGACAATACTGTCACAAATATGCCACAACTAGTGACAATAAAATCGTTACATAAGCGTCACAAATTATTACAACATTTAAGCCACTGACCCGTTACATTTTACGACCAAAATATTATCACAAATCCGACACAATTAGTGACTCGATTATACGTCACAATTTGTGTTTCAGTTGTGACCTTTTTTTTCTTACTAAACTCGTATCAATTTGTTACAAAACTAGGAATGTAAACAACACACAGACGTTTAGTCACAAACATATGATTACCAAACTTTTTTCTTTTACGAATTGCAGTCACCATTTTTTTTTTTAAATATATAATTTTCTTTTTTGACAGCAAAAAATTTATAGAAATCTTAAAGACAATAGACTATAATCCAAACAAACGATAATATTTACTAAACGACTAGCATCCAAACAAAGTAACACAACTTAAAGAAAATGAAAACTAAACGATACTTAGGCTAATAGAAACCAGAATATATACATAACTATATTAGCTGGAAGGTCTTGGTGGTGGATTCGGATCTAGACTAGACATTTTTCCATAGCTTCAAGTCTTTTCTGAGTTTGCAGATTCTCTTCAAGGCTCTTTTTAAGATCAGTTTCCATCTCTTGTAGCCGATGCGTTATCGTCTCTACTTCTTCAGAAGTTTGTGGTACACTTGAAGAAGCACCAACAGATGGTAGAGCCTCAATTAGTGCTCCAAGTCCAAATATATGGCCATGTTTAGATGATCCAGCAGCCTAGAAAGAAAGATTAAAATTATTAGCAAAAACAGAAACAATACAAGATATCTCAAATGATAGTTTAGGATACACACATCACAAGAACAAATGAATGTAAAATCAGAGACTAACCAGCATAGAATTAGAATGAATGTAAAACTAGAGACTAACAAGCCTAGAGTGAATGTAAAACCAGAGACTAACCAGCCGAGAATTAGAATGAATGTAAAACCAGAGACTAACCTGAATGTAAAACCAGAGACTAACCAGCCTAGAGTGAATGTAAAACCAGAGACTAACCAGAATGTAAACCAGAGACTAACCAGGCTAAAGTGATGTAAAACCAGCCTAATTTTTAGAACTATTACCTTGATATAAATTTCATTCCCCAGAAGATTCCAGAGAGAGATTTGAAAGAACAATGGAGAGCAGAGATTAGCAGTTTAACATCTAGATTAGAAGTTTAAAAATCCAGACAAGCCACATAGATATTTGAATGACTGATGGAGATGGAAAGCAGAGATTAGCAATTTAACATTTAGATTTGTAGTTTTAAAATCCAGACTAGCCACAGAGATATTTGAAAGATCGATGGAGATGGAAAGCAGAGAGATTAGCAGACATCTAGATTAGAAGTTTAAAAAATCTAGACAAGCCACAGAGATTCGAAAAGATCAATGGAGAGCAGAGATTAGCAGTTTTTTAAAATCCAGAATTATGTAGAAATACCTTACCTCTGAAATGAAAGACAAACTAGTCGCATATTGATAAAAGGGATGTGGCGTAGAAATCGATTTTGAGAAGTAGAGGGAGATGGTTAAATAGTTTTGACGCAGTTTTAGGGATTCTTATTGAGTGGGGAAATTTTTGGCAAAAATTAAAGCGGTTAATGAAAATTTTAGCTATTTTTGGGAAAGAAAAGGCGCTAATGGTATAAAAAATCTTTTTAAGGATCTAGAATAGTCTAGTAGAAATATCTACTAGACTTATTTGCATATATTTACATAGAAATAACTAAGAATATCTAAATAATTTCATAATATCTAAACACTTATTGGACCAATGTTGGCTCACTCACCATGATGCATACGGCAGTTTCCACACATGAGTGCATAAGGATCAGAATGTTGTTTGGATCGTCCATTCCTACAGAAACAAACATCATTACATTTACAAATTCTCTTTCTTGTCTAGATGGTTCTAAGATATGTGTATTTTACCATTTTCAGTGATGAGATCTATCAATCATCTGTTCTAAGCTTCGCCTGTATTGAAGTCTGGTAGCTGTTCTCATCGGGGTCGTGAGCTGCAAAACATCCATGAGAGAGGGTCCAGCTTAGCTTAACTTAGGTATCAGTGATTATTGTTAGTATGTGAAATGCTTGTGCACCTAAACCAAATTCTCAACTCATTATCTCAATATATTGAGTAGTATATACCAACTAAACTATAGCAAATATCCAGCATGAGACTCCTAACATCACCAGAACCCTTAAAACCTCAATATGTATATATGAATTAAAAGGTCTCCAAACAAACAAAGAAACAAAATCAATACTTAAGCTACCACAGACACATGGATGGTTGCAAAATCAAAAACTTTTGACTAAAACCTCGCAGATCACTACATTAAAAAACCTTATAAAGCTAATCATCAAAATAACTTGAAAATCAATTGACCTGATCACTAGACTGGTTAAAGAAACCCCACCTCGCTCATCATTCAAGGTGGTTGCTGTAAACGGGTCAGCCCGACCCGAATCATTCACATCCATATTCTTCTCCGTAAGAGTCATAACTTCAAAGTCTTCCCCTTTTTCCTGAATTGGGACGATTGAGCTATCTGCAGAGTCAGTAACATCGACATCATTCTCAATTATTTCGAAATTCCTTATAAAAACCTCAAGCTCGTCATTTTCTCCCACGGAGCTCCATTTCTCAAAAGATTCCAATGTAGTAGAAGAGGAAGAAGACGAATCCGTATCGATAGCTAACCTTCGGCTACGGAGATTCGTGGTTGGAGACGAATTGAGGCTGTCGGAATGGCAGTGTTGTTGTTTGCCGACTCGGTGGTGTATTTTTCCAGTTGCTCAGCTACTGTGAAATGAACAGGTGTCGTTATTCAACATCGAAGATGAAGATTGAGACCTATGCGACATCGTTTAACCTTGGACTTTATGATTAAACGGCCCATAACTTTTGTTTATTCTTTAGACCCAGTAAATCAAACGCAGCCGTTTTGTATCTTCTCTTTTCCTTTGTTGTTGGGAACGCAATCTATCTTCTCTTTTCCCAGAAACACATTTGGTTGCTGTTCTGTCTTGATAGGATTTTTTTATTAGACGTGAGAAGTACAACAAATTGAGCAAACGAACTCAAAGACTACTTTTCTATTTCATGCAATCTGGAAAAACTTATTCAACATGGACTTAATAAACAAAGATTTATTGAGCAAGGCGAAAATACTGTTTATTTTTTTATTTGGGTGAAACTCTCCATAATAATGTGGCATATAAATATTTCTTTATTTGGGTAAGGCTAATAACGTTTTTATTCTTGTTACAAAAATGGTAACAATTATACTACAATCTATAACCAAACGCAAAAGTCACAAAAATAGTGACAAATTGTGACAGGGTAGTTACGAAACTCTTGTAACTAAATGTGACGTAAATTTACTCACAAAAATCATATAATTTAGTTATCATATTTGGTTGCAAATCCGTATTTATATTTGTGACTATATATTTTGTAACAAAATCGACATAATTAGTGACAAAAATTGGTTACTTTCAATTCAGTCACAATATTATAACGAAATTGTAATGTTTTTATGACGAAATAAATACGTCACAATTTAGTATGTAAATGGTCACAATCTTCTGATGAAAAAAATGGTCATAATTTTTTCGTAAGAATATTCACTTTTTTTGTTGTAGTGAGATACGGCGGTGATATATCCTCCAAACTCCACTGCCGCTTCTTTAGCTGATTACACAACCCTTGGAGTTGTTAGCTGGGTTTACATACTCAAGATGGGGCTGCAGATGCTTCTTCCGCCTGTTCCACACACTACTCGGACCACCCGGTGGACCACCACCGCCCGGAGGACCACAACCACCATACGGAGGAGCACCACCATACGGAGGAGCTCCCGGACCATTTTGGAGACCTTACGGACCCGCATCTTACTGGAGAGGACATAATCGGCCAGGAGGGCCTTATTGGAGAGGAGGAGCTGCAATAGACAAATCCGACCGTCTCCTCTGTCTCAAGGTCGGTTCGATTATTACTCCTTTGACATTTTCTCTATTTATCCTCATTTTCTCCGTTTATCCTCTTTCTCTGACTGTTTATTCACACTAACGCTCCCCATTTATCCTCATTTTCTCACTCTTCTTCTCACTAACGCTCCCCATTTTCTCTGTTTTGAGCAGTATCTTCAGTATTTTGGAAAACCGACCACAACTGGACACTTTGATCTACATGTTGGGGGGTATTGATAAGCTTGTGATTGAGATCTTCGAGAAGGAAGCCTCTGAGATGAACAAGAGGTACTTCAAGTACGCATGGGTTTTGTACAAACTTAAGGCAGAGAGGGAGCGTGAAATCACTATTGATAATCCTGATCATCTTGATTTCATCACGATCACGAACATGATCACCGATACTTCCCAGGCTGACTGTGCTGTCGAAAAAAATTGCTATGAGGACTCGAACCACTCGAACCCACGTCCTCAATATCATTCACTTACCACTGGACCACGATAACATAGATCACAAAAATGTTAAAAAATTATATATATCGATAAAAATATATGGGACTACAAATTAACGGCGTTAAAGGATTCCGTTACGTTAATCAACGGTCGTTAACTTGCGGGTTCGATTCCACCAATAGTTATTTATATAGAAGGTATTTTAGACTATAAATAATTCAGTAAAATTTTTTTATTCCAATCGAAAACAATTGGATATTAAACGTCCAAATAAAAATTACTTTGAGTTTTTTTGGGGAATTTTCCCGATTAGAAAAGGAAAACATTTAATAACTTCCAAAATAAAAATGATTTTCTATTTTATTGGCTAAACGAGACTTGCTTCTTATGGGTACGTACGTACTCGAGAGTACTCGAGAGTTGAAAGCGGTTCAATTAAATTTCGTTATCGAAAGCAGAATTGTAAAATGAGCAAAACATATGATTTCGAGCGAAGTACACAAAATAAACAAACATGGGAAAGCTTCTGAGTTCGATGACCATGTATTGTAATCTTTACTCTGTTCATCAACATGTATTGTAAATTTGGTTCAGAAACAACTTCAGATGAATTTCTTAAAGAAAACAGATTCACCCATGCATTTCCCGGTTCAAATAGAACGGAGTAGAACCCGTAGATTCACCAGCACCTTATGTTTTGTTGTCGCGAGTTGTTCACACATCTGAAATCTTCCCGAACAATGTGACCTCTCCCTGCCAAGACGCTCTTAGGAACTTAGACCCTGCCAGTTCACGATGAACCACGTAAGTTCAGTGATCGATTCAAAACTTTTTGAGTATGTAAACGCAAGATAATCATGTTAAAGTTGCAATCTAAAGTGAAACAAGAGGATAATCTAATAGATACTTCGAGGAGGATGGATATCCGAACAGAATATGAAAAGGCAAGAGTAAGATCAAGCATTACTAACACTATTGAGTAGATTATCACACCACAAGTCTGATGTTCATCGTCTTAGAACTCTCATTAGGATGTAAATGGATATCTGAAGATCTATTGTCATCATATGAAGATTTAAACAACATTCTATATTAATATTTGTGGACACAGTAAAAAAGAATTCTTCTTGGCATGAAAACCTCTGACTACTATAGTGAACTGTATATGAAAGCAATAGATTTGCAGATCGACCAAGTCTCACTAGTCACATTGTGAACTAAATCGAGTGTCCAAAACATCATTGAAACAAAAGTTAATAAAAAGCATTCTTTGTAAGAACATGCAGTTTTATCATATATGGGAAACAACTATCTACTAACCGCAAAAGGAAGAAGAGAATAAAATCAGTCAAGAAGAAAAATTTGCAAAATTTATAATATGAATTGAGGAGAATTAATCGATCATATATAACGACCATGTGTCATTTGAGACAGAAATGCAATGACCACAATCCACAACCAAACATTGGCCTAACCTGTAACTTCATTCATTCAGGAAACAGCAAGTGCTGAATTCACTACTGGTAATGATCAAAAACAATCATTTTCCAATTTCTTTTTATCAACTATTGTCTTGGAATGAAAAAGAAACTGTAAAAGCAAACTAAAGGCTTGATTGACCATGAGCGAATCAGATTTCAAAAACAGAATTAAGGGCAGGTCGCTAACAGCAAAAATCAGCCAAAACATATGAGCCACTGTTATATTTCTCACTGAATACATACTCTATACATGGCCCAAAACTTTAATTAGCCAACATTAGATCAATGAACAACTAAATCATCCCAAAAACAAGAGCCACTGTTACATTTCTCACTAAACATGTAGTCTGTTATCAGACCCAAAACTTCGATTTCACCAAAACTAAACCAGCAGTATCAGGAACAATTGATTGCAGTCTCGAAATGTAGTAATAGCTTGTAGAATCGAGCAGCTTATCGAATCATCATACTATCCTAAGACTTGTACAGAATTCCCAGGAACCGACATAACAACACATAATGATAAATGTTTAAAAGGAGTTATAAGAAACAAACCTTGAGGAACCAATGTTGATGTTGTTCCTATGAAGAATCCTACCACGAGCAGCGTCTCCACCATCGATCAACTCTCTAAGCCCCAAATTCTCCACCTCCTCCTCTTTCACCTCCTTCTTCTCCTTCTCTACACGGCGGTTAGGAAGCTTCACAGGCAACCTCTCGAAGTAATTCCCGTAGATATACTCAGGCGTGTAGCCATTCTCTTCATCGAACAACATGATATGACCATGCCACTCCCAAACACGATAATCCGATTCTTCATCCTCGTGAAACCCAACGCAGATGTGGTGTTCGTTGACTGTCACGGCTTGACCTGAATTCGGCTTAAGAGAATCGCTTCGACCAGAGACGATGACTCGGATTAGCTCTTTCTCAAGCCTAGCTTCTTCTCTGTCGAGACTGGTCTGACCTTCTCCGTCATCATCGCCGTCGCTGTCGTCGGATTTGAAGAGGAGGTCATCTAGGGATTGAGAGAGGAAATGAGAGTTAGGGGGACGGATTTGGAGACGTCCAAGTAGGGTTTGGATTAGGATGTTGTCGATGTTGCTGTTTCCATTGAAGGAGCTCATCGTTGATCACGAATCGATCTTCTTCTTCTTCCTCCTCCTTCGATTTCGTCCTTCTTCTACCCTAAGAAGAAGATACTCTCGGTCTCGGGTTTTAGGGATAGGAAAGGGTTTTGGTTTACGATGACGGTTCATTGAGGTTAACGTGGCAAATTTCAGAAAAGGTAAAGGCTAACATGGTAATATTCTATTAGAGAGCATCTGATCACAAATTTGTAAATGGAAACTATGGAATTTAGTTGGCTAAACAAAATTTAAGCAACTTGGAATCGAAAAAAAAAAAAAAAACATAAACATAAGGAAACGAAAGCAGAGAATAAAAAGAGTCTACTGAATGAGAGAAAACTAGCATTGTATTTAAGTGGAATCCTCATCTAAATAGTGATTATATTGTGAATGAATTGACAATAAGGGTGCAATCTTCATCTAAATAGTGAAAATATCTCACCGACCTTAAGATCTTGGCCAAACCCAAAAGCATATCGAAGTAATTGTGATGTATAAAAGACTAGGATCGGACCCGCGGTCCACCGCGGGAGAATATTGGTTTACATACGTTGATTTTAATAGTGTGTGTTTTAAGTAGAGCGAATCGGATAGTGTACTTATAAATATTTATAATAACGAATTGTAGAGAAAATGTTAAATTGTTTCTAATTAAACCGATCATATTAATTATGATTAAATATAGAATTTTATGTTTTAGAATTCTAAAATTAGATGATTCATAGGAATTAGAGCAGTAAAAATAGGTCAAAAACCGTGGGTCGAGCCCAAATCAGCTCACTATGGGGCATATTTGTGAAAATATATTAAACCCGTATATAAACGGGCCACACGGATTGATTCGCAGTGGATCATAGGTTTTTATCGGTTTTCGTCCGCGGGTTGGCGGATCAGCCCGCATGTTAGTATTTATTGATAAAAGTATAATTTATTCAACATTTGGTAATTTAAAAAACTTTTAATAAATGAAATTATAATATTTATAAATATAATGAGATATAAAATTATTTCCTCTAATTTTTATTTATTTATTTATTTTAGTAGTATTTAAAAATTTCGTTACTTTAAAATTATTTAAACAAAATCCACGGACAACCCCGCAAATCAGCATACATTCGTGGGACGGATTTGTGTTTTCATATATGCTATCTGCGGGTCGTGTGGACCAACTAACTATATGTCAAAATATATTTTGCCTATCACAAAACGGGCTTAACGGGATGAATCAACTCGCTTTGACAGCTCTAGTGGGAATATTATTTAGTCATACAACAAAATAGAGTTTGGACATAGGAATAATAGAATCTATATCCTATTTCTTAGATGAGAGATTGAAACTTTGAAAGGTGAAATATAACGATTAATAATTAATTATTATTTTTCATGATTCGCAAAATTTAATAAATATTTATCATCTTGTTGAATAATTCTAAAAATCATATTCAAGAAATCTTTATAATTTTAAAATTAAACTTCTTTGGTAAGTTATAAGTAAGAAAATACCATAATTTCGTTTAATTTAATTAAATTAAAATTAGTTACATGGATTTCATATCTATTTAATTTACACGACCAAAATAAAAATATCTATTTAATTTATAAAATAGATGAGTTAGTTGTGATAAATTTTCTAGAAATCTTTTGAAGCAAGTAAGATATCTTTCAATTAATGCTAATTGGCTAAAATAAACAAAATTAATGACAAAAACGTTGATTGTTATGGAATTAGTTCCAAAAATATATGAACAAATATATTATACGTAATTAATGTATAGTATTGTTCGGAATATGCTTTTATAATTAGTTACCATAAATACAATCATAATTTATTTGATTTCAATAAATATTTTATTTTAGTTTGATTTTTTTATTATTTAATATTAATTAGAAATCATATTCCAAAAAAAATTGAAAGATCCGATTTCAGAAATTTGGGTCAATTTTCTGATTTTGACCCGACACATTTGCATTGGTACTTCTCTTTTAATAGTATAGAGATTTAATATACCCAAAAAAAAAACAAAGCAAGATAGGAAATGACTCCAAAATTAGAAAAGTGATGAACACAAATGAGTAAAATCTCTGTTTTAGTCTTTGAATTATCGGCATCATCTAACGGATTCATCAGAGGACATACACAAATATATCCTTTGGGAAGCCTGACATTTATATGTATACTTATATTTATGAAAAATGCAGTTGTGAGCTTTTCATTTCATTGCTTGGGTGGTAAAAACTCAACGTCTTAGGTTCTCCACGACGTAGTCTGCATAGAGATCCCTACATGACACGAAAGAGTTGTCCCAATTTGATTAGTTATTAGTTATTCTTTGATAAAAGGTGAATATGAGATATATAACAATCAGTTTAATGAAGGTTGCTTACATGGAATGCTGAACTGCGTCGTAGGCTGCAGTTGCAGGAAGGAAGTCGTTAACGGCTACTTCCTTGTTCTCGTTTTTCTTATCTGCAACAAGAATACAAGAGCATGAGCCTCATCTATTTACATTTACGACTTCGCTTTCGATTTTGGTATAAACATTTCAATTCGGACTTGCTTTGGTTTATGTCTACCCCTAAGCTCATATCATCCTTAACCAAACAAAAGTTTGAAAGATGGTGAAGAAAGAACACTCACAGTCTTCAAAGAAACGGCGGATCTCAGCCATACGATGAGGCGGAAGCTCACTGATGTCGTTGTAATGGCGATACTCTGGATCATCAGCGCAGACAGCAATAATCTTGTCGTCTTTCTCACCCTTTTAAAGCAGAAAGAGCATCTAGCTTCAATCTCTTTTGCTTTTGTAAGGAAATAAGATGACACATACATTCAAGGATATTAATTTTTCTAACCTGGTCAATCATTGGCATCAGACCAATAGCTTTGGCCCGAAGAAAGCATCCTGGGATCACCGGTTCCTGTAGAACAAATTCAACATGATTCACATGGGATTAGTGTCTAATCAACTAATCTCTTGCATATGACTCTACTATATATCTTCTCATCATTAGACTTTTTACTATGTCTATATGCTTTTGTTATTCAATTTCACCAAACCAGAGAGACTTGATTAATAAGAGATTTTAAATTCCAAACTAAAGACTAGAAAATCCACACTCGAAACAATATGCTGAGACACCTTTATAAGCATAGCACTCACTAACTGACTGGCAACATTTCTAATCTGCTACATTCATTCCTAGGCTACACAGTTACACAGTAGAGTCTATAGCCAGGAGTTGAGCCATTGAACTTCTTCAAAGCTTATCAGATGCACAAATCAAAGTGGAACAAGAAACATTATGTAATGAATTATACAGGTTCTCAAAATTGTATGAGAAAAATATGTTACCTGCATAATGACAAGAACATCAATAGGGTCACTGTCCTCACAAAGGGTACGCGGAATGAACCCATAGTTGTGTGGGTATACGACAGATGAGTAAAGAATACGGTCGACCTGAGAATATAGGTAAAGTTTAGACAATCGTAGCTCTAATAATGAAAGGGACAGCGAAGAAAGTTACTGCAATCAAGTTTATACCTTAATGAGACCGGTAGTTTTGTCAAGTTCATACTTCACCTTGCTCCCTTTTCCTATCTCAACCACCTGTAATAATGCCTCCATATGCTTTGTTAATAATTCCCACAAAAATATCTCAAGTATTAAATTGGTTTCCTAATCAGGCAATGAACATCATTTCATATGCTACAGCAGACTCAATTCAGGTCTCAAGATAAACAGCCAGTGAATGTCTGAATTTTCTTTGAGTGAATGCTACAAATATGTTAATTCTGTAGGAATAGCAAACAAGTGCAGCATCTCCAAATACGCCCAATGACAGTTTTTGTGACAATATAATAAAACATATTCAATACTAAGACCATTTGCTGCCCATATATCAAGAACATAAGCAAAATACTTACACAATTGAAGATAATTGGGGCCTCAGGTCCTGTGAAACAAGGGAATGAGAAGTTAAAAAATGTATAGAGTTACTATTAAACAAACAAATGAAATCATCTAAGAACCCAAAAAAAATAAAAGAAACCATTACGTATAGCTTTACCTATCTCGAGATCATGCCATGGGTGTGCAGCAACTGATCTGTGGCTCATGGACGAAAGTATCCTCTCATTAAGAGTAGGAAGTGAAACATGTTTCTCAACGTAGGTTTTGGTAGAAACCTCAATCGGTGGCGCCATTGCTGCAAAACAATGCACATACCAATTCATAAACAGAACAACCACCACAATATATGCATCTCTCAAAGCAACAAAAACCGCAACACCATCTGTCGAAACACAAATTATGGGCTCAATCTTTACAAATGTTTTAATTCCCCTAGATCATGGAAGATAATAAATTATACTAAAGATCTGTGTGCATAAAACAAGTTAAATATATAAATAACAATCTTCAACACCTGGGAAAATCAATTGAATACACACAACACAATGGTGGACACAGAGACACAAGATAACAAAATCTCTTAAAAAGAAAATTACAGAAACGTCCAAAGAAACGCATATTTTTTGCAACAGTTCATGAATCCATAAATGTGTCCACCGACAAAACCGTTCCCCACATGTCTATAAAGCGACCAAAAGATCAAATTTTTATATATAAAAAAACAGGGCACTCTCTTAAATCATCTTCAGATAATCAGCAAAGGGCATTAAGAGAAACGAGCAAAGATTATTCCTTTAATGGAGTTTGAGAATCTAGAAATGTAGATAGACATCAAAAGATTGAATCTTTTGGAACCCGACTCAGATCTACAGGTCACAATGACCTCTCGGAAAGAAAAAACCTCGCTCATGGCTTATGCAAACAGATTAAAGACACCCAATACAAACCCTAGAAACCCGGTGAGGAGGAACAAATCCGATTGAAGAACATTTCGAAATCCGTACCTGAGCAAATCGACAAATCTGAAATCTCCCGAGCTAAAATGTCGTCGAATGAAGAAGAAACGCAAGCACAGATCTCAAGAAGCAGCGAAGAGAGGAGAGAGAGAAGCAATAGTAGAGAGGAAAGCTAAAGGAGAAGAAAGCTGTAACTATACGCGTTCCCGCTCTCTGTCTCTGCTTCTGTGCTATTTGAAGACTCCATTTATATTTTAGAAAGAATATTAATTAATATTTTGGAGGAAAACAATAAATTAAAAAGCATGACCAAAGAAAATCTCTTTAATTTTGGAAATTAATCGAATATGTCCGGACCCGAAAGTGTAAATGTGGCAAGATTTTATTGGATAATGGAGGAAGAGACATAGACGGAATTCCTAACGGCGGTGGGGTCAACGTAAGGTTTGGCTGTCTGATACACGTTAACGTGACTCGGATTGCGAGGAGTCCACGTTAAGCCTCCGTTAGATACTGTTAATGGGAGAATATGCTGGAGAATTGAGATCAGGTGTTCGCAAGTGCACCGAAAATTCGTGTTCAGATTTATGACATCGCAATTTCTCTGTCGGTGGATTACAAACTGCAATCAAAAGAAAAGCATATGTAATCTCTCAAGTGAATATTCGATTTCATTTTCTTTCTATGAATAATAATTTAAACACAAAGATATGTAAATGATTATTAAGTGTTGTTCATCGTTTTTTTTTTTTTCAAAATGTTGTTCATCGTATTTTCTTCACATTATTAGGATTCACGCAAAAAAAAAAGAAGCATGGATTTGTCTATGAATATAGTAGTAATTTTGGTAACAGTGATATTAGGAATTTAATTTAAAAATGATATTAGGAATTTGAGATTTTTTATCTGAAAACACAATAAATAACTCACTTATTATTATTTTAAATTATTAGATTTATACTTTGCTAAAGTATTAGATATTTAATCTTTTTGTTGTTTACAGGCTTACAGCTCATAATTTTTATTTGTGGTATTTGAACTCATATTATAATCGGATACCGGCATTGATACAAGTCACCATTTACCATCACCGGTAAGCACCGTTTTATGATTATTTTTTATAATTAATATACACGTGCATTTTCAAATAAATGCCATTTTGGATAATCTTTTGGATAAATATCGAACGGTAAAAAAAAAAAAAAAAAAGATCGAACGGTTTTGGATAATCTTTCTGACTTCTGTATGGTAAGAGTTTAATGAGATATCCAAAAAAGTAAGATAGATTTGGATAAATATGAATCTAATCGTCTTTTTTTTTTTTTTTTTTTTCATCATGAATCTAATCGTCTAAATTAGAGTTAAAAGCATTAAATGAGACGATCACATTGACGTAATAGTTGCAATCTACATGATCAGAACAAATCTGAGAATGTATGATTTTACTTTTTTCCTTTATTGTCAATGGAGACACTCTTCGTATCCATTTAGAAAAGGAAATCGGATCGTATAATTTAGGAAAGGCTTACGTCGTGTCGTGTCATTCCCTACAAACTTTGGATAACTGATATCCAATGAAAATTGGATAAACATGAAACTAATAGCGTAAGAGTTTTAAAAATCATTAAAGAAGACGATCACAGTTACTTATTATATATACATTCAAAACAAATCTGGGAATATATGACTTAAAACTTTTTTGTTATCTCAAGGACGATATTTAATTAAAGTTAGCTTTCCTTTAATGTCAATGGAAACACTCTTCGTATCCATTTAGAAAAGGAAATTGGATCGTGTAATTTCAGAAAAGGCTTTCGTCGTGGCATTACCTCATTGGTCATGAAGAAGTGAAATATAGACTTGTCCGCATGGGATGATGTGGATGGGGTTGAGTAACGAATGCTCATGCAGTAGTAGCAGCAGTACATTAGATCCTACGTAGGATCATTGTAGATTCCTATCCACACTTTATTCTTTGGATGATTACTTGCTTAACACCGACGACACTATATTCAAAATTCTTTCTTTACCAAGTTGTCAATTCGCCTCTCTTTTAGCCTAACTCTTTTTTTTTTTTTGCCTAACCTTTGCGTCCCCTTGGAGTTAGTTGGATGATTCTACTGCCTACTGGTTCAGATATTTGAGTTTATTTACAAGTGAAGGGATTGAATCAACTTTTTTATTTGAGAGCTTAATCGCAACGCAACTCAGAACGAAATATTGACATAGAGAAATAAACAGATATTAATTCTTGAATTTTCTTGTCAACTCAGAACGTTTAACGAAACTTACAAGTACGTATTGTGCCCTGCGATTGATGTGAGTTTAATCATATTATTTGTGATCCGAGACCAATAATAGATCATAGATGTAATTTGTTCCCTTTTCTATCGTCTTCAAAACTTCAAACACTTGAACATTCAAATAAAACAACTGGAGCTAAGCCATTAAAAAAAAAAAAAAAAAATTTACTGAAGCCATCAAAATAGATTAGACTTTGCACCACCGGTCACGACTTGGGGATCAAATGGGTTAAGTTCAGACGCAATACCGTTGGACAAAACTCATTGATCTCCCTCTTAACCAAAAGACGTCTAGTTAAAATGCTCTGAAATTTTTTTTTTATATGACAATATTTCGTCAATTCTGCTGGGTTGGATTTGGATAAGTTTGATTAAACTAAACATATAGTGGATGCCATTGTCACACAAAAAGAAAAACAAGCCCAAGGCCCATTATTCGAAATCTATCAAACGGCGACGTATTAATCAAACCGTAACCTATAACCACGCGCCCGGCAAACACAGATCTCCATCACGAACAAGATCCAACGGTCCAGATCCATTCCCTCTCCTTCTCCATCTTCTCTCAAACAAAAAAAAATCTTCTGAATCTCCGAAAAAAGCCGATCGGGAGAAGAAAATAATTCGACGGCCGTCCGGTTACTGTCTTGCTCCGTTCCGACGATCTATCTTCCCCGAGTAGATCTGGTACTTCTTTCTTTTGATTTTTAGGGACTACATAATTGAATCTCGATTTAAATTTTGTCTCCATTGTCTCAGTTTTTGTCTCTCTTTGCTTACCAGTGATTCGTTTCTCGGCAATTACTTGATTTTGTTAAGAAATGGCTGCTCCTCCTGCTAGAGCTCGTGCTGATTACGATTACCTCATTAAACTTCTCTTGATCGGAGACAGCGGTAGGTTTCTTCATCATTCAGATCGTAATACTCCCTTTTGTTCCCTGCATTTGATTCAATCTATATCTTTTTGATTCTCTCGATTTTTGGTTTTTGGTACGCTTTAAGTTTTGTTTGAAGGATCTTGAGACATCAGTGATTTGAGTAACACATCTTACTCAGATTTGGATCTTATTTCCACAATTGTGAGCATATGATGTTCATAGTCTTCCTAGTTTGATATTAGGATGGAGAATTCACAAAAATGAATGATGTAACTGTTTCATTATGTTCTCTAGATGTTAATGTCGCAAATGGTTTAGCCAAATTGATGTGAATATTCCTTTTGTTGAATGTTGTAAGTGTTTCACTATGTTCCAGTGGATTATCCTAAAGTTTCTGTTTATCTCTTTCTTTCATGTACCAGGTGTTGGTAAGAGTTGCCTTCTCTTACGTTTCTCAGATGGCTCGTTTACCACCAGTTTCATTACAACGATTGGGTATGATGTCTTCATGCAATGACACTGTCATAACGTGCTCTAGTCTAATGTAGTTCTCTATTCCCACTCGAGTTGTGTTTTTGGTTTTTGTTGTTGACAGAATTGATTTCAAGATAAGGACTATAGAGCTCGATGGGAAGAGAATTAAGCTGCAAATCTGGGATACTGCAGGACAGGAGCGGTTCCGCACAATCACAACTGGTGTGTTTTCGATCTTGCTTTTCGTTTTCTCTTTTTGTTGTTATTTATGCATCTTTGCCTTCCTCGCTGGAATACACCTGAGTAGTTTGTTCTTATTGCAGCGTACTACCGTGGAGCCATGGGAATTTTGCTTGTGTATGATGTGACCGATGAATCATCTTTCAACAGTAATTACTTTCTTTACTTTTACCTTGCACTCTTGCAGTTTAATTAGTTCTATTTGAGGCCTTATGCAACCAACAATCTCTTGCAACAGTTATAAAGTTTATATTTTTCCATTTGTTAGCTTTCTTATTTTCTAATCAACTAATTTGTTCCTTTGTTTTCTTCAATTCTAGACATCAGGAATTGGATCCGTAACATTGAGCAGCATGCTTCTGATAGTGTCAACAAGATTCTAGTTGGGAACAAAGCAGATATGGATGAAAGCAAAAGAGTCTCTTTCTTTTACCCTCCCTCGTATCTTCGTCCTGCTTAAATATTCTATGTTTCTGTTTGGCTAATACACCGGTTTGCTTTGTTTTTCCAGGCTGTGCCAAAATCTAAGGGCCAAGCTCTTGCAGATGAATATGGAATGAAGTTTTTCGAGACTGTAAGTTGTTGTCTATGTTTTGTTACATTTCAATAGATATAGGGAAAGGTCTAATTCTTTTTAAATGGTTAACTTTGATGAGTTTGCTAATTGCAGAGTGCCAAGACTAACTTAAACGTTGAGGAAGTTTTCTTCTCTATTGCTAAAGACATTAAGCAAAGACTTGCAGATACCGATGCACGAGCTGAGGTTTGTTTGAGCTTTAACATTAATTTCTACTGTCATCATTCATACATTGCAATTGTGGTAAAAATCACATTTCAGTATGTGTATCAACCTTACTAACGTCATCGAATTTCTTATCATTTTTGTAGCCGCAAACAATCAAAATCAACCAATCCGACCAAGGTGCGGGAACATCTCAAGCTACTCAGAAATCAGCATGTTGCGGCACATAAAAATTGGGTCCACGACGCCTGTCAAAGGAGAGAATCTGGCTAGTGAAAGAGAAATGGTATTTGGTAAGAAAAACTGAAAAAGGAAATCAATCTTCTTTTGCTTTTCTTTTATATGAGATGTGTTGCTACGTGTTCTTTTAAGATTCTCTCTTTCCCCTAATGGTATAGTGTGACTGTGAAGGACACAATTCGTATTCCATATTTCTGGAATGGATTCTCTGACATCAGAATATGACTTATGATAATATCAGTTTATCTCACTCACACACCAATGATATTGGATTCTTTGTATACACATTCGAGGATGGTTCTGTTTCAACTGTTAATGTTTTATCACTCATTGCAAGAATTTTAACCATTTATTTAAACAAATTGTGTATACATACATGACGGAAAGAATGAAATAATGTGTAGCAAGAAAGAAAAAAGCAACAACAAAAGTACAGAAAAAGGTTTAAAACCCTACTAATTCACAAACTTCAAATCAATTTGTGGAACCAAATTCTTCCCAAAGATTAACACAAGATCATTCTCTAATGGAGTTAGATTTAAGTCCAAGATCTTCTTGTTGCTATTGCATTGATTCAAAACCGGTCTGGAATAAACAACAGAAGGGATAACCGATTGCTCGGTTATCATGCTCGTCCTATGCTTTCTCATGTGACCGCCTAGTGCTTGACCGGTCCCAAACATTTGATCGCAAATTGTACACTTATGCATATCATTCTCATTGTTACGATGCTTCACCTGTTCTTGGTCAACGATCAGCTTAGGTTTCTTGTGGCTAGCTCTATGACCTCCAAGAGCTTGGAAGGAATCAAATTTCCGGTTACACGTTTTGCATTCGAAGTGGTTATTATGATTGGTTTTGCTTCCGGTAGATTGCTTTACATCGATTTGTTTGACCACGAAACTTCGAGATAACATCATTAGACTTTCTACTATGTCTATATGCTTCATGGATTCTTCGTAATCGGACCGCTCTCTTTTCATGTTTTTACGGTTGTATGTCGAAAAGAGAAAAGAGCACTATAGAGGGAATTAAAGATTTTAGGTTTTGGTTGGTTCACCTAGAAAATGTGAGACTTGTGAGATTAAGATCTTTGTAACGTATTCATGGAGTAATGAATTTATATGCAAAATAAAGAAAGTTTCAGAGGTTTTGACATTTTCTTACTTGACCCAAAGAAGAAGTCGTCTTTAAACTTGATTCCTATTCAAATAAATTAAGCAGCATTGCTGGTTTGACAAGGACAACAACAGACAACATGTTAAATATTATCGACCACTAACAGTCACATTTTTTGGGTGTTTGGTAACCGACAAGGCACATATTAATTTTAAAATACAAAAAATAATTCTCTTTCGTCTGTCTAAGATATTCCAATAATAACATGTTTAGTACTGTATTGTTAGTTGCACATTTTATCGTTGGCTTCGTGATTTTTAAATTGACTTTGGAACGTAAATGAGCACGTGTAGAATATTAGAAAGAATGGCTAAGAAGAACCAAAAGAAAGTCAAACTAAAAGTCAAATGATTGCATTCTTAAAAATCAAAATCTGACAACTGCTTTTCTCACCTAGGCACTATTTTATTCCACAATCTATGTGTGTGATTACATATAGACGTCATCAATGATGGAATCGTGACGGCGTCTAAACCGGAGTTCGACTTTAGATTAAATAGTTGAAAGTCATTTGGACTTTTAATCTTGAAAGAGTATTATTATTATATGATGAAACCAAGAACGTTGAATTCTTCAAGAAGTTGCATTGCATAGCTTCCTCATTTCTTTTTTTTTTTTTTTTTTTTTTTTTTTCCATTAAAACTCAAACAGTACAAGCCAACTGGCAAAACAGGCACGCAGACCCTACATTACAAGCCAACTGGCCAAAACAGGCACACAGGCCCAACAGAGCATAAAAGCCAGGCCCACGAAGGAGCAACAAACCTGTCACGACCTGGAGAAAGCAAGAAAGGAACAACCTGCAGAGGAGGAGAAAAACAAAGGAACGACAAAAAATTACAACGAGGAAGAGATACACTGAAACAAGTCAAACCAAGTTCATAACAATGAAGAGCCAGGCTGCAGACACCGCTGCGACCGAGAGAGAGGATCGAGACGAGCTCGGATGATAAGTTGTATCTCCTTGATAATCACATGAGGCGGTCTGGCAATACCCGAATGGATGCGAAGATTACGCTCCTTCCAGATAAAGTATACCGATGCTTGAAACAGAAGCTTAAGAATGAGAGAGAGATTGGAGTCCCTGGAGGCAGAGAGTAACCACAAGAGACAATTTATGAATTGAGACGGGGGTATTAATCTCGCAGCAGCCGTGAAAAAACCCCAAATTTCTGAACTGTACCGGCAGGCAAAGAACAAATGATCCCTGGACTCATCCTAATCATTACAGAGGACACACACCGAAGGAATAGAAAGGCCCCAGTTCCTTAGTCTATCTCTAGTATGTAACATGTTCCATGTAACAACCCAACAAATAAAAGCTTGCTTGGGAATGTGATCTTCTATCAGATTCCCGGCAGCAGGAAGAGTATTTTTGAGCAGGACAATAACCGGATTCCTGCTTCTGCTGGACGAAATCCACCAGTCACAGTCTCGGAGTGCATCCTTGACCACCGCATTAGATGGTAGACCAGCCAACTGCGGGCCATTTAAGCCAGTTAAATCGATCAGCGGACCATGACCGGTCCAATTATCATGCCAAAAGCTAGCAGTGATACCTGATCCGACTTCACAAATGTTGAAAGGTCTAGCAATAGATCTAAGCTTACACAGTTTTCGCCAGATCCAGCTACCCGAGTAATAAGGGTTTAGATTCCAAAAATTCCTGCTCCCAATAAGGTTCAGTCTCACCCAAGAAACCCATAAGGACCTTGCAGCAGTGGAAAGCAACTAGATCAACTTCAGAGCAAGAACTGTATTCCAAGAGGATAGTCTTTTCAGCCCTAGACCTCCATTCTCCTTTGCAGAGCAAACGATATCCCATGAGATCTTTGCACGAGCCGAGTTTGGCGCCCCAGTCCACAAGAAAGCATTACACATCTGTTCAAGCTTAAGCAAACATTGATTCGGCAGAATGAAGATAGAGGCCCAAAAATTGATGGTAGAGTAAATTACTGACTTCAAGAGCTGAAGCCTACCAGCAAAGGAGAGATGTCTAGCAGTCCAAGAAGTGAAGCGCGAATTGATCTTGTCCAGAAGAGGCTAAAAATCATGTCTTCGCATTTTTTGAGCCATAAGAGGAACTCCCAAATAACGAACTGGGAGGGAGCCATGATTGATACCAAAATCAGCAGCTAAGAGACGACTTCTTTCAAAATTTCAACCATCTAAAAGCAAGGCAGTTTTACTCCTGTTTATGCCAAGACCCGAGCCTTGTTTAAATTCATCCAATATATTCAAAATACCATCAATTAAAGAGGCTGAACCATCACAGAAAATCAGCATATCATCCGCAAAGCTCAAATGAGTTATCATAGGCGCCAAGCATTTAGGATGGAGGGTAAAGAGACCATTAACAGCACCTAAATCGAGGGATTTGGCCAAGATGTCCATAACCAGAACAAAAAGATGGGATGACAGCGGATCTCCTTGTCGAATCCCCTTCATACCCTAGAAATATCCAATCAATTCTCCATTAAAGTCAATACTATATGAAGGGGTAGAAATGCAAATCCTGATCCAGTTAATGAAATCCGCAGGGAGATTGAGAGCTTTCAGAATGTTAATAAGGAATTCCCAGTTTACATTGTCGTAAGCCTTAGTGATATCCACTTGGAGACAGCCTCTGGTAGTCACACCTTTAGCTTGAAAATTATCCACCAGTTCCGAAGCAAGGAGAACATTCTCACAAAGCAGCCGGCCCTTGATAAACCCAACCTGGTTACCCTGAACAGCTTTGTCTATAAAAAGCTTGAGACGCTTGGAAATGATTCGAGTTATGACCTTATAAACTGTAGTGCAGCAGGCGACAGGACAAAACTGCGTTAACTGGTCAGCTCCGGTCACCTTTGGAATAAGCGTTATGACAGTAGCATTAAATCTCCTTAACAAATGCCCAGTCAAGAAAAAATCCCTAACAGCAGCCACCGTACAATCCTTAACCACTGGCCAGGCTTCCAAATAAAATTCCACCGAAAAGCCATCCGGACCAGGAGCCTTATTACTAGGCATGGAAAAGAAGACCTGAGTGATTTCTTCCTCACTTGGGATAGCAGACAACTTGAGCGCAAGAGATGAATCACATTGAAAGGGATGTAAACCACGAATTCTCTCAACAGAAAAAGGAGAGAGGGCATCGCTTGGAGTACCTAACAAGTGAGTATAATAAGCCACAATCATACTTTTGATCTGATCGACATTATCAATTCTTGAGCCATCATCTCCTCTGAGATATTTGATGAGATTGTTAGCTTGGTGGGCAGTCACTGCTCTATGAAAAAATCTTGTGTTAGCATCTCCCTCATGAAGCCATCGAATCCTAGATTTTTGTCTGTAAAAGGACTCCAAAGCTGCAGCAAATAAATCCCACTTTTTCCTCGCTACATATTTCTGCCTGAATAGAGAGTCCGAAGGGGAAGTAAGCAAAGCAATCTGCAGCTCCTCTAACCTTGCCAAAGCCTGATCGGTTCTCTGTTGGATGTTACTGAATCCTTGACGATTCAAAATCATGCAGCAAGATTTGGCCGCCTTCAGGAGCTCTCCCAAAATAAACATTGGTGACCCCACAACAATACTTCCATCCCAAGCAGCAGACAAGGCTGTCAAATAAGAAGGATGGGAAGAGAGGAAGGAAAAGTATTTAAAGCACTTCCTGGAACCAGCCGGTTGGTTATCAATTGAGATGATGCAAGGAGCATGATCCGAATCACCAGGAGGGTCAAAAACTGCCAAAGCACTTGGAAAAATGGAAAACCATTCACCGTTAGCCATAGCTCTATCGAGTTTTCTGATAATAGGGTTATCCTGTTGGTGATTAGACCAAGTATAAAAAACACCACGTCTTGGCAAATCTGCAAGTTGATTATCCCTGATGCAAGTTTGAAAATCCTCCATACCTCGCAACGAATAAGGTGAATGAATGATAGAAAAATGCTCGCTGATGGCAGCAATTTGATTGAAATCTCCCAACATAATCCACGGAGTTACAGACAGCAGGGAAGAGGCTGCCAAGGCTGAAATTTCCTCCCACAGAACCCTCCTTTCAAGCTCAGTATTCCTCCCATAAACAAACGCAACTGCGAAGGAATGGCCGACATTTGGCAGCTTTATACTACAAAAGATAAGCTGCTCAGATTTTTTAAAGACCAAAACTGAAATGGAAGGATCCCACACAATCCAGATCCTCCCAAGATCAGAGCAACAATAGTTGCTATCCATTCTCTATCCAGGTATGATAGAAGCCAAAACCTCATTGGCATTTTCTTCCGCCACATGAGTTTCCAAAAAACAACCTACCATAAGATTATTAGAAGCAATCCAGCTTCGCACTACTCTTTGACGATTACGGTTATTTAAGCCCCGAATGTTCCAACAAAAAACCTTCATATACACACAAAAGGTGAAGGCAAAAGCCAGGCTTTCAATGAGGCAGGGAACCGCTCGAGGACTCGCCTCGAACGATGCCATGAGCTCCAGACAACGCAGAACGGATGCGATTATGCCACTTCTTTAGTTCTTTCTTCTTGGCCTTAGTAGACATAACTGCCCAACCCGGAGGAATGGGAAAGTCAGGATCCGGAGACGTGATAGAGTCCCTCTTCGACTTAACAGAATTCCCAGTAGACTGAACAAGGACAGGTTCATTAACAATGCGAGGGATAGAATTAGTTGAAGGCGCGACAACAGCACCAACAGGTTTAACCACCCTCAGCTTCCTATCCACTGGCTTCTTTAAAGAAGAATCCTCAGCATTTGCAGAAGACAGAGGGTCCACAATCCTAGGAGGAGAACTCAAGGACCTCTTCTTGGATCTAGAACGTCTTCTTCTCAATTTTGAGAAAGCAGCATCACTAACTGTGAGCTTCTCCTGAGAGCATCCAGAATCAGCAGCCCCTGAGTCATGGAGAGAGAGGGAAGGATGAACCACCTCCTTTGATCCAGCTGGAGTATCTTTCTTAAAGGGCAGCTTTTTCATCAATGGCTGTGGACAACGACTCAGCAAATGCCCATACTTACCACAATTTAAACACTTCGGAGGCGGCCTTGGATAATCAACATCAACACGGGCAGAGTTACCTTGGACATCTCTGACCACAACCGTGGAAGGAAGGGTAGAATCCAACTTGATGACGACCTTCACTTTAGTGGTTCCAATGTTGATCGGATCAAGCCTAGACTTCTCAGTGTGGAGGGGTTCACCAATCCCACTTGCTATGACGCTGATACCTTTCAAGGAATATAACTGAGGAGGAACATTCTTAAGAACAGCCCATGTCGGAGCAGACTGCAGCTCCTCATTTCCTCTTCTCTCTATTTTTTTTTGTCTTACAAGTTATAACCATAGTGCAAAAAGAAACTTTAAATTCTATGAAATTTCAACATCCTCACACACATTTGTAGTAGAAATCTACTTGCTACACCACATACATTGAGATACTAAATAACTACTACCACTAGGCATAATTATCTATTTCTCTAGATTATTTACTAGTTTTACAAGCAAATTACCACTTAACCACCAAATATTACGTGGGCTTAACTCTAGCCCAATAACCTTCTTAATTTGTGACAGTCACACGGCCCAACTCCTCTTTGGCTTCTTGACTTTGCTTTTCTTCTTTGCTCTTCTTCTGTTGCATACGTTTTTTCATCTTCTTCTTCACTCTTCTCTTCGTCTTCTTTATTATGCAGAATTAATCAAAGGGTCAACCTCCAACAAAGAAAGCTAATGTTTTTGCTTTTTAACCTTTTTCGGACAATCTATTTTTTTTGGAAATCTTGGATTTTTAAACTAAAAATCAAACAAAAAAAAAGACATGAAGATGAGAAAATCGCAAAAATCGGCGATTACGCAACACAGTGACCGCGTTTCTACCCCCGGAGTCCAAATCAGCAATCTCCGGCGAAAGAGGCGCGAGGCCGTCGTTTCTTCTTCTTCACCAGCCAGACTTGGGTCAGGGCTAGTTTAATAAGCCAATACTGCACCAATCATATTTTACTCGCCTTGGATGCTATTGATTTCAGAATGCTACTCGATTTTGTTTCATCTACAATGATATCATTTGGTCTGCTACTTTCATCTAGAGTTGAAAATTAGATACATGGTAGCTGCTACATTGCATTCCATCTTAAGGCAAAAGCAGTCATCTTTAGTGTAATTCAAAGCTTTTTGATGACTTTATTGGACTTGAGAGTGGTTTTCTGACATTTCCAACCCATTTTGCAGCAAGTGCATTGCATCCTATTAGACCGGATTTCACTGATTTATGAGGAGCTTAAGTAACTGGGGCAGTGGTGATCCATGCAGAGTAAAACGAATTGGCATGATAAAGACATGAAAGGCATACATGTGAAGCAGCAAGATGGCTTTATTGTTTTATAGTTCGAGTCATGTGTAGAATGGCTGCTCAACTGGTCTATGTAGTTGGGAGAGAAACAGATTGGAGTTATCAGGTATTTTGGGATGGTCTTCGCCATGGGAGGGTAAGGGATGCTCTAGAACTCATTCCCAGGGCTACTTTTTGTTCTGCTATATGGTTTGTTCATTGTTTTGTTCCATCTGTGTTCATCAAAGTTAAAGAGAAACTAGTTCTGGAACTTATCAAATCTCTGGTGTTCTGAAGAGCTGTGTGTTTATCTATGTTATGTTCTTTTTGGATCATCATCAATCACATTTCTTTCCTCATTTTTTAGTTTTCAAGAACCAGTAGAGGGCTCGCTCAATATGGATTGGGATTTGTTAGGATAATTACGTAACTTTTAGGGGTTGTAATATTTATGCTACTCACCATTATGCAGAAAATATATCTGGAAATTTGGCACCCGCTGTTATCTAATCTTGAAGTACTGTAAGATGAGAGATTTATGTGTGTTCTTTATTTCTTTAGCTCTTCGGTTCACAGATGTTGTCCATTTTAATAAAAGATGACAACTAACCTTTAATTGGTTCTTAGTTTGTAGTTGAGTCGGGCACTTTTGTTCTATAAAAGAGCCCAGTGAGAGTTTTAGGGGTTGAGGCATACCACTTCAAACATATGTTGTTGTACCAGCAAGTGTTGACTTTTCATTGTAAATTTGCATCACAATATGTATGAGGTGCTTAAGAGTTCAAGTTTTGTTGGCTCGTTGAACATTCTTTGTCCAGCTTGAGCATGTTCAAACTGAGAGGAGCTCTAGTTGACTTTTTCTGCATAGAAGTTGACTGAAAAATAAGGGCTCCATTATACCTAGACAGGTTTTACTTTCCGTTCTCGGTCTTTCATTCAACTCTAATGTTTCCTGTCACCGTATAATCTGAAGTTTTGCTACCTATTTACTCTTGCGTTGGTTTGCTCCTGGAATTTCTTAGACCGATTCTTTTTTATAATAACCTAGTCTAGATTGGGAAAGGGTCATAACATTGCAGTTGAAAATCACCAACTTTTAAGACAAGGTCAGCCTAAGTGGACAACCAGTCTGCAGCTAAAGATTTTAAAATTGACAAGTTGGAAGGTTGTTGGATTTTTCTTCAAATATATATATATATATATATATATATATATGTATTATATATTTATATGTGTGTTTGTGTCTATACTGCACTATATAGGCTTTTTAGGATTTTACCATCAAACCTTTTTATCAGTGTTTTCCCTAGCCACTTCAATATATACTGGGAAACTGCAGATATAGGTTCATCAAGGAAAGTCAGTCTTAATAAGAAATTTTCAAACCCCATTTCATTAGTTATAGATATATAATAGAACTTTGTTGACAATCTCTTATGTATAGTGACTATAGTCCCTTTCAGGTATGTTTTGTTAACTCATTAGATCACTGTCATCATGAAGTATCTGTTCTCTGCAGTATTTTTTATACACACAACTATGTCTGATGACCAAAAGACTTCTGCTTTTCCTTGGCGTTGAAGAAGTTTCTAGGGATTCTTTATGAATTTTTGATCTTCTGCCTAACGCGTTTCTTGGTTATTTTTCTGGTGACTTGTTCATGTAAGATCAGATTTTCTTATCATAACTTATAGGGATTGCCTTGACCCAAAATTTTCTCATAATATGAATTCATTTTGCTCTGACCCCCATGTATGTTTCTTTGTGCTACAACAGAATAAAGTATGATTTTTCTTCCTTTTCTAGGTATCTTGATGAGTTCAAGAACATGCGGTTCATTATTCCTGGTCACATTTTGTTGCCTTCTGCTTCATGTAGCTGGTTCGAGAACAGATCCTTCAGAAGGTAATCACTTTTTACCATAACCTCACATCACTTATAATTCCCTTTAATAAAAAAATTGGGGTAAAAAGTTCTCTTAAGGTACCACCGAACGTAAAAACTGAACCTGATACGCTTACAAACACATATTTATCCACATACTTACATATACACAAAATGATACAGTCAATGTGCATAAACTTGTTCACTAGTCTTCCTTTCAAAGTTTTATTGGCTATGCTTTAGGCTCCACCCTCTACCCAAATCATATATGTCATTTTACTACGTGAAGATTGCGTTCCAGAATTTTGCTAATATGATTTATCCATTTTACAGTAAATGCTTTGCGGGAGGTCAAAAGGAGTATAATTGATCCTATGAGAAATTTAAGTAATTGGGCAAAGGGTGACCCGTGCAATTCAAACTGGACTGGCATAATATGCTTCGGGAGCTCACATGATGACGGCCACTTTCACGTCCGGGAGCTGTATGTCTCTCTTGTATTACCATTAGTCACTTTTCTTTTCTTCTTTCTAGTCTTTTTCCCTGTCTTTATTTTTATTTTCTCCTGCAAAGGTTGATATAGTCCATGCATCACTAATGCAGTGTCCTGGCTTCATTCTTGCATGGATAATACTGAAAATTTTATGCATTGATGTACTTACACTGCTGTCTTTTACATATTGTGATATAGCCAATTGATGAGGCTGAATTTATCTGGAGAGCTGGCTCCTGAAGTTGGCCAGTTATTGTATCTCGAAATTCTGTAAGATGTGTAGTCTAATGAATTGTTTCATTTGGTTTGTCTGATTGGCTTCCTGTTGCCTAATACATTCTGAAAAACCTATTTTCTCTTGGGTTACCTTGTTGAAGTGATGTGATGTGGAACAACCTGACTGGGCGTATTCCTTTGGAGATAGGAAGAATTTCTTCCTTGAAACTCCTGTAAGTTGGATTACATGATGTACTTTCTTTTGCCTTTTTGTTATTTGTTTAGTTTCACTTATCGAATAGTTTTAAAGAAGGCTTTGGACAGAGGATATCATAGTATGCGCTTGTTTTCTTTATTATTTTTGGAGCCACAATTCCAATTTTGTTTGAGTGTCGTCAATTGACTCTCTGCTACATTATTTGGACAGACTGTTGAATGGGAACAAGTTCACGGGTAGTTTACCCCCTGAACTTGGTAATCTTCAAAACCTAAACAGGCTTCAAGTAGATGAGAACAACATAACAGGTTCAGTTCCATTTTCATTTGGAAACTTGAGAAGCATAAAACATCTGTAAGTTCATCGTGAAGTATTATCTTCTTCACAGCAAAATCAGTAGTCATTTGTGGTTCATCCGTTACTCATCAGTGGCTTTTTGGTATTCAGCCACTTGAATAATAACACTATAAGCGGAGAAATTCCGGTTGAGCTATCCAAATTGCCCAAGCTTGTTCACCTGTGAGTTTAGTTTGTTTTCTTGATTTCACATTTGGATACTGTCTTTAAAGTGTTGATATTGATGGAACAAATCTTGTAGGATTCTGGACAACAATAACTTGACTGGGACATTGCCGCCAGAGTTAGCTCAATTGCCATCCTTGACCATACTGTATGTACCATATATAGTTCTCATTGACTATCTTTTTGTTCGCTTTTACTATAGTTGGCAAAGTTGCTAAGCTAATATTCCGCCTATACAGTCAGCTGGATAACAACAACTTCGAAGGTTCAACGATTCCAGAGGCTTATGGAGACGTTTCTAGATTAGTAAAATTGTAAGACTTTACAAGTGGTTTCTGCAATAAGATTCAAATGGGTTTGTGATTCTCCACTAGTTTGAATAGTACGGTGAATTATTCTTGTACTTCCTCTTTTCAACTTGGCAGAAGTTTAAGGAACTGTGGACTGCAAGGATCAATTCCTGATTTAAGCAGGATACCAAATCTTAGCTATCTGTAAGTGTCTATGTCCGGTATTTGTGAAATTGTGTGATTCTTTTTACTGGTCCTGGAATTCTTGAACCTTGTTAAAGGAACAATACAAATGAATTTTTATTTAATTTTCATCTCTTTTACAGAGACCTAAGTTGGAACCACCTCACAGGCACTATACCAGAATCCAAGCTTTCTGACAATATGACAACAATGTATGCACATTTCCAAATCTTTCTCCTTTTAACAGTTTACTCAAATGGATACAATACTTAATTGTCCATTTTTTTCTGCAGTGAACTATCTTATAACCACCTAACTGGATTTATACCACAAAGTTTCTCAGAGTTGGGCTCTCTTCAATTACTGTATGTAAACATTCATTGATCAGTGAAATGATTTTCCGATTCATAAGTACTTTGTAAGATATTTTTTGTGTCATCTATAACAGGTCACTTGAGAACAACAGTTTATCTGGTTCTGTCCCAACAGAAATTTGGCAGGACAAGTCTTTCGAGAATAACAAGCTGCAAGTGTATGGTCTCAAGTATTTGTTTTTCTTTACTTCATAGTTTCCTAGTTTTTATACATCATTCTCAGAGGCTGAAACTTATTTTGGATGCATGCACAGTGATCTCAGAAACAACAACTTCTCTGATGCCACAGGAAACCTGAGAACACCAGACAATGTTACCCTATAGTGAGTTTGTTTGTTTCTATTTGGTAGCAAATTAAAGCACATCAAACATTTTGGACTAAACTGCATTCTCTTGTCTTGACATTATAGTCTAATTCAATTTTAGTTGTCTTTGAAAACCAAAAGTCAACGACTCATCAAACTTTTCTTTTGCTATCTACTAAAGCTTTTTTTTGTTCCTTGTGTCAAAGTCTCCGTGGCAACCCAATATGCAAGAGTACAAGCATTCCCATTGTAAAACAATTCTTCGAATACATCTGCGGCGAAAAAAAGCAGACATCTACAAACTCAAATACACCCTGCAGTAATGTGAAATGTCCCTTTGAGAATGTGAAAGTATCCCCAGGAATCTGCTTGTGTACAGCACCTCTTTCGATTGATTATAGGCTAAAGAGCCCTAGCTTCTTTTTCTTCACTCCATATATTGAACGCCAATTCAGGGAGTATATTACCTCGTCCCTCCAATTGGAGACTCATCAACTAGCAATTGATAGACTTCTTGATGAGAACAGGCTGCGTCCAAGGATGTACCTAAAGCTAGTCCCCAAAGGCAAAATAACATTTAACAAGAGTGAAGTCATACGTATCAGGGACAGGTTTATGTCATGGAGTTTTAATAAAACTGACTTTTTTGGACCCTATGAACTGTTGGATTTCCCTCTTCAAGGACCGTATGGTATAGTTTTTGGACCTCATCTTTAACAAAAAGGGATATATTTTAGTGATATGCATTTAAATATTAAATATTTGGATGCAGATGATTTGCTAACTCAAAAGGGTGTAATTAGCACAATTGGATGGGTGATGATAGTGGCAGGCTCTATTGTCACTGCCACTGTTATTTCAGTGAGTGCAACACTTCTATATGTTCGGAAACGTCGTGAGAAATCCCATACACTCACCAAAAAGCGTTTTTGTAAGCAACTCAGCAGTGACTCTTTTTGTCAGTATTTCATCTTGTTTGTGCCTTAACCATGAAACTTAGGACTCTTTCTTATGTCTTCTAGTCAGAGCAATGTCTCGGGAAATTAAAGGGGTGAAGAAGTTCAGTTTTGTAGAATTGTCGGATGCAACTAATGGTTTTGATAGCTCCACAATGATCGGTAGAGGTAGCTATGGAAAGGTCTACAAAGGCATTTTGCCAAATAAAACTGAAGTTGCCATCAAACGAGGAGAAGAAACTTCTCTGCAGAGCGAGAAAGAGTTTCTGAATGAGATCGATCTGCTTTCGAGGTTACATCACCGAAATCTTGTGTCGCTTATTGGCTACAGTAGTGATATCGGGGAACAGGTATGTCCTTTCATGTGCAGTTAGGTAGCTTTATTATCTATGTTCTTCGACTAATCCACATAGGTGTTTTGTTTGGTTCATACACAGATGCTGGTATATGAGTATATGCCTAATGGCAATGTTCGTGATTGGCTTTCAGGTTAGAAATATTTCTCCAAGTTCTTCTTAATATACTTTCAAGATTTTAAAAAATAGCATTATCTCCAACTTTTTCTTATCTGCTTCCACATCGATGCTAATGTTTCAGTGGTTTTACATTGTCATGCAGCTAATGCTACAGACACATTGAGCTTTAGCATGAGGTCACATGTGGCGTTGGGTTCAGCTAAAGGGATTCTTTACCTTCACACTGAAGCAAATCCGCCTGTTATTCACCGTGATATAAAAACCAGCAACATACTCTTGGACTGTCAGCTTCGTGCTAAAGTTGCTGATTTTGGACTGTCACGGTTGGCTCCTGCTTTTGGGGAGGGAGATGGTGAGCCTGCCCATGTATCAACCGTAGTAAGAGGAACACCGGTGAGTTCTAAACTGGCACATAAGTCGATGTGTGATACTATGTAACCTGTGGCTTTTGATAAAACCATACATGTTTTTCCTCTCAGATATGACATTTTGAAAATTATATACGCACAGGGATATCTGGATCCAGAATACTTCATGACTCAGCAATTGACGGTGAAGAGCGATGTGTACAGCTTCGGAGTAGTATTGCTTGAGCTTTTGACTGGAATGCACCCATTCTTTGAGGGTACACATATTATCCGCGAGGTACATTTCTTGACTGAGCTCCCACGTAAACCTGATAATGGAGCTAGCTAAACCTCTGAGGTTTATGTTTTTTTTTTTTTGTTAAATTCTGGGACTTGAATGGTTATTGTTTTTTGAATATATCAACAACTTTCCTATGAGTTTTTGTGTACTATGTGATACAGGTGAGGACGGCGAATGAATGTGGAACAGTTTTGTCAGTGGCGGATAGTCGGATGGGACAATGTTCGCCCGATAAAGTGAAGAAGTTGGCGGAATTAGCGTTATGGTGTTGTGAGGATAGACCAGAGACGAGACCACCAATGTCAAAAGTGGTGAAGGAACTTGAAGGTATTTGCCAATCTGTGCGAGAACCCGAAATGTTCTCAGAAACAACGAAATTGCTCTGCACCAAAACATCGCCGTCATCTTCTTCCGTACCCTCACCATTGTCTTTACTTCCTGGAAGTGACTTGGACAGTGGCTTTTTCCACGCTGTAAAACCTCGTTGATATATAATTGTGTGAGATAGGCTAACATGAGACTAATGAGAGTTGTGTTATTATATTTAGGAGATATTATGAAACCAGGTCTGTTGTCCTGATTCCTAACCATATAAGCTAAAATATCTATGCAGACATGGAAGCTAAGCAATCTTATCATGTATATATGCGTTTTTGTATTCTCTTTATATTTCTGGTCTGCTGGAGATTCAAGTTTAACCATCAGTGTAGAAGAGAACTATATTCCGAGAAAAAGAAGATTTAAATTATGAACATAAATGCAACAATTCAAAAGATTTGTAATTTTAATCTGAAAACAATAGTACATAAACAAATCCATGAAACACAATCCAGCGGGACAGGTAAGAGCTTAGAATGTTTGAATTAGAACACACAGACCCCAAAAGAACAACAGTAGAGGACAAGTCATCGCCTGTGAAGTCCCATTAGAGCAGCGCTGATCCGTAGAAAACAGCTTCCGCAGGACCTGTCATGTAGATATGGTTGTCTTCCTGTTTCCACTCTATTTCCAATGGTCCGCCCGGTAGATCCACCGTGCATTTCTGTTCCACCATAAACCAATAAAAATATATGATGAGCTCAAGGTCAACATTTGTATGTATAACCTCATGCAGCTAATCTCAGCTCATGACAATCTTGTTAACGTAAATATTTGTGTCCGTCACATCTCTTTCGAGGTATAAACCCAATAATAGTAAGTGAGAGTGAAGAACCCAAGAAAAGGAATAAAAGATTCTCCCACAAACATGAAACTTATTTAAGCTCAAATGAATATACAAGAAACGAAAACTTAGTAAGATCATAATCTCATCAATCGCATACCAATCAAATCATCTAACCGTTCATTGCAACAGTCAGGATTCATAAACAAAGCTTTTTCCCTAAACTATCATGATTCATGTGTATATAGGGAAGACTAGGAGCTGCATACCATTGTATAATCTGAAAATGTACCTTTTTGCAAACTGTTATCTAGTTTTTTAGTTCTGAAATTCCAAACTTACCCTGTCGGCTCGACCTTCAAGGACTGCTGCAACAACCAGAGCACAGGCTCCAGTTCCACAGGCCAAAGTTGCTCCTGCAGTTTTAAGTATGCTTAAGCATTAAGCATATAAGGATACAGAGACTGTTGATAATCAACAAAGAATTATATTCGAGATTCGGGGGGAATCAGCTGACCTGCTCCGCGCTCCCACACACGCATTTTCAAATGAGAATGTGATAAGACCTCAACAAATTCTGCGGATAAGCACAGAACTGTAAGAAAACTTAAGGGATATAAATCCAAATATAGTAGAGAAGGCTTGCTGTATCTATCCATGGAAATCTGGATAGATCTGCAGATGAATCTCCACTAACCTGTGTTAGTTCGAGCTGGGAACATTTCATGACGCTCGAACTTTGGACCAATCTCTGGTAAGTTCAAATCATCAACTTTCAGATTCTGGTTGACACAAGGGAAAATTACAAATGATGAGAATTTCCATGTGTAGATAAATGACAACTAGAAGTCCAACAAGCAAACACGCACCGGCCCGCCCTTTTTACCAAATGTGATACAGTGAGGATTGCCCATACTAACACACGTCACATTCCAGCTTTCTCCATCAACAACTAGCTCTGCCTGAACAACAGCTTCACCTTTGTTCCCTGGCAACTTCGTGGGCACATCTTGTGCTTTAAGAATCGGTGTCCCCATGTCAACCTTAACCTGTACCCATATTAATCACAATGAAGTAAACAACTTGCAAACGACGAGAAAAAGGGATAAAAATTCAAACTTCACCTAATCCATCATCATGGACACGACTAAACCTTATATAAGACATCAATCCAAATGATTTACCTGTCCGTCATCTTGAATTTCTGGAACAATCAAGCCAGCACCGGTATGTATTGTAAAACTACAAAAACACATAAAAAGACACTAGATGTTACATCAAGCTTGGCCCAACTCGGAACTCTCCACAGATAATTCTCAATATAAATATAGATACCTATGCTTCCCCTGCAAATTCTCAAGCTCAGCAATGAACCTGGCAAAGCATCGAACTCCATTGCCACACATCTACACAACCAAAATCAAAGGCCAATGACTTCGAACGCAACAACAACTTACTCAAACATATCAACTCCAAAATCAACTGCCTTTATCATCGAAAATCGAACCTCTGGTTCACTACCATCTGAATTGAAAATCCGCATTGCGTAATCAGTACCATTGACTCCTGGCATTGCAAAGATCACTCCATCGGCACCAACACCGAAGTTTCGATCGCAAAGCTTAGCCGCCTGTTCTTGAGTAATCTTAGGTTCCGATGAGTCTCTGTTGTCGACCTACAAAACCCAATTTTCAAAAATTCGATACACTTGGGTCAAATTTCATCCTCCTTCCAAATTTGAGAATTTAACGGAGAACAAAAGTACCAAAATGAAGTCATTGCCGAGGCCATGGTACTTCACAAAATGAAGAACTCCGGTTTCTTTCTTGTCTAGAAAACTCGCCGGAGAAAATTTCTCAGCAATGACGGCGTCCATGGAAGCCGCTGCAGACACACGAAGGCTAGGGCTCTTAAAGCAATATTCTTTCTCAAAGAAACCAAACGAAAGAGAAGAGACGGATCCTAGCTTCCTGGAGAACACATTCAACAGTTGACGCGATTGTGGCGCGACGGAGACACTGCTAGCGGCGGCTATCTCCATGGCTGCTTTCAGATTTTTCCTTAATCAACGACTCTCCTCCGTATTAAAAAAGACTTTGGAGAAAACACCGCATTGTTCTGATATTCAATAACTGAACTCCACGTCGTCTTTAACCCTGAACAATAAAAAACATCATGTCGTTCTTTAGTCAACGGATATTTAATAAAGGCCTGACTAGAAAAGCCCATTAAGAACTTCCAAAGCCTCTCTCTCTCTCCCCTTCGCTGTTCTCTTCCTCAGGTTCGCTCTCTCTCTCTCTCTCTCTCTCTCTCTCTCTCTCTCTCTCTCTCTCATTTCAGTCTCTTTCGCTGTTAAATATTTTCTCCTGAGATTTTTTCTTCAATTCCAATTCAGTGAGCATTTTTGTTTGTATCTCCGATCTGAATTCCGGCGATCAAACTACGACAGCGTCTAATTCAACGTTTTAAATTACTCTGTGTGAGAGAGATTTGCGGTTAGTTTATTAGCTACATTTACTTAATACTTTTTTATATATATTTTTCTGTTACTTTTCCCACCTTTTCTAGTTATCTTCTGGAGATAGATCCCCCCAAATTGAAGATAATTAGGGTTTCGAATTTCGGAATCTTATCCCTCTAATTAGATTCGAAAAATCAATCACAATTCTCTCTTTGTTCATAATCTGGGTTTTTGAATTTCAGCTCTGGATTTGCATTTTTATAACCCTTTATGCAAAGCAGTGTGTATCGTGATAAAGCTAGCTCGATCGCCATGATCTTGGAAACTCAGAGGAATGTTGAATTCCCTCATAGGATCGTTGATAAGCGTCCCAGGAAACGGCCCCGATTGACTTGGGATGCTGCTGCGCCTCTTCTTCCTCCTCCTCCTCCTCCTCCTCCACCCACGGTAACGATTTGTCTACATATCTTTGTCCTTTGTAATAAAGGGATGTTCTTTTCTAGTTTTCATAGTTCTCAAATTGGATTTTACTCATTGTCTGTGTTTTTGATCTTGGACTATACTGCAAATTGTGTGAACTACTACAAATTTAAGATTTTTATATTTGTGCTTAAGCTAAGTGTCAGCTGGTGTTTTTTTTCCAGGTATTTCAACCTCCGTTGTACTATGGTCCGGAGTTTGCGAGCGGAGTAGTTCCCAATTTTGTTTACCCAAACATGTTCTATAATGGCCTTCCTCGTCAGGGCTCTCCTCCCTGGAGACCAGATGATAAAGATGGCCATTATGTCTTTGTTGTTGGAGATACTTTGACTCCACGATGTGAGTCTAAATGTTACAGAGTCTTTCGACATCTTATCTGTTTCGTTTCACAGACTTTATCATGGAGGTTTACATTGACATGCCTCTTCTATTGTGCCTGCAGATCAAATTCTCAGCAAAATGGGTGAAGGTTAGTTATCTCTTGCTAAAATGTTTATATAATCATTATGATTAGTTTATTCTGCTTTTCTTTCTGTTAATATGCATGCTATAAATCAAAGTAGAATTTCCTTATATCAAAGTGTAGGTGAAATATGTTTATTTGGTCGCCAGTTTTCTTAAACCAATTGGACTTTATTCTGGCAGGTACATTCGGACAAGTATTGGAATGTTTTGATAATAAAAACAAAGAAGTCGTGGCAATCAAAGTTATACGGTCCATAAGCAAGTATCGTGAAGCTGCCATGATAGAAATTGATGTGCTGCAGAGGCTTACAAGGCATGATGTTGGTGGTTCTCGGTAAGATATTTCTTTCCTCTTACAATTTCTTGGCCAGTCTTAAATTTATTGCAATTGGTATAAGCTTTTCAATTCCTTGCAGTTGTGTGCAAATACGGAATTGGTTTGACTATCGTAATCATATTTGTATTGTAAGTACTGTTACCTTTATTTGATAAGTCTGAGGGGAAAGTAAAATTTTCTTCATGCCCAAATATTATGTGAGTTAAAAGAACTTGCGGATGGGTTTAAATGGTTTCAACAGGTATTTGAGAAGCTTGGGCCAAGCTTATATGATTTTCTCCGCAAAAACAGCTACCGTTCATTTCCCATTGACCTTGTTCGGGAGCTTGGCAGACAACTTTTGGAGTCTGTAGCATGTGTGTGGAATATTCTTGACCCATTCTTCTATATAGTAGTCCATTAGTGCCATGAATCAGTTTTCTTTTTGGAACTTTTTGATACAAGACTTATGCGTTAATAGTTATTACTTAATGTTTCTCGTGTGATACTGCAATTTCCATGGAATCCATGTAGCTCAGACAGTTATTTCTGGAGACTTTTGTTGACTAGTGTACTCAGACTTTGCTCATTCCATTCTGACAGATATGCATGATTTACGGCTGATCCACACGGACTTGAAGCCAGAGAACATTCTTTTGGTATCGTCTGAATATATCAAAATACCTGATTATAAGGTGAGTAATCAACTATCTGGACTCGTTTATTTTCATGGCTAATATGATATCCATCCATGAAGAAACTTGTATAACTCGAGTTGGCTGACCTTTTTCCTTTGTGGTCATGAAAATCTAGTTTCTGTCACGACCCACGAAAGATGGGTCATACTTCAAGAATCTACCCAAGTCAAGTGCCATCAAGCTCATTGATTTCGGAAGTACAACATTTGAACATCAAGACCATAACTACATTGTATCCACAAGGCATTACCGCGCACCAGAAGTTATCTTAGGTAAACTTTTATGACTTTGATACATCTATGTAGATGATTATTATTTTTTTGTATAGTAATGGTATTTAAGATTTTTGGAACATTATTGCAGGGGTTGGATGGAACTATCCATGCGATCTGTGGAGCATTGGTTGCATACTTGTTGAACTTTGCTCGGTGAGTAACTTTATGTTAGCATGTTTTTCAGTACACCGGGGTTCATCTCACCATGTCTCCATAAACGTTTCTTCTGGATTAAACTTTGCAGGGAGAGGCGCTTTTCCAAACGCATGAAAACTTGGAACATTTGGCCATGATGGAAAGGGTCCTAGGACCTTTACCACCTCATATGGTGCTCAGAGCCGAGTAAGAACAACAAGATCATCCTATTAGCAGCATCAGATACCAGCAAAAAATAATTTGAACTGTCATTTCTTATATCAAAATCAAAACGGTTCTTGCAGCCGGCGCTCTGAGAAATACTTCAGGCGAGGTGCAAAGTTAGACTGGCCTGAAGGTGCGACATCAAGAGACAGCTTAAAAGCAGTATGGAAACTTCCCCGGCTACCGGTAAATAACCTTACATTGGACTTGACAGTCGCGTATCTGCAATATTGAAATTAAGGACACCAGTTTTTGCATTTTGCAGAACCTGATAATGCAGCATGTGGATCACTCAGCCGGGGATCTGATAGACCTATTACAAGGGCTGCTTCGATATGATCCAACAGAGAGGTTCAAGGCAAGAGAAGCACTGAACCATCCCTTCTTCACAAGAAGCCGGGAACAGAGTATACCCTTCAACCCAAACCCTCATCCATTTTTATACAACCAAAAGAACTAAAAAAAGAAGAAACAGCAGATGACGTTTGGAGAAATCTGCAGTTTCTGTGTATCCTTTACTTTCCTGTGTTTTTGTAGCATTTTATTATATATGATTTTCATGTATAGAAATGAAAGAAAGAGAGAAAGGTTTGTGCCTAATTTTTTCTTATCTGTTGTTGTTGTGGTTTCTTGTGTTCACTTTTCGACCACAACAACTGTTGCTCCATGGCTATTGTAAGAGTTATTTTACAGTTACTTACTTTACAACACAAAGTGAATGTTACACTGTGTCATCATCTTGCTAAGTAGTAGAAACCGGTTTGGGTACACAATCTGAAACATTTATTGGTTTTTTTTTTTGGATAGGTTAAAACGCAGCGTAAGACCCATCAATGATCAAAACGCTGTCGTAGTATGTGCAGCGAGGAGAGAATGAATATTCGGAATCGAAAGGCTTGATCTTCTTCTTCTCCTATCTCTTTACTTGCTCAAGGTTTTTAGGGTTTATCTATCTCTTTCCGCAATCATGGAGTCTCTGGGGAAGCTACAGCTACATCACCAGCCATTTCAACTTTCCTTCACTCACACCTCTTCTTCATCGTTCCCGAAAAACCTCTTCAGGACCTCAATTCGGCCAATTTCATCTTTCAAATCCGCTTCAATCAAAGCTTCGTCCTCCAAATTTCAAGACTCTATCACCCTTCTCCCAAAGTCCACACCTTTCCGTCTCTTGAAATCCACATGCATCACTCTAACAACCGCCGCGGCGCTGCTATTGGCGAATCTCCATCTCAAATCGCCGGCGATTGCAGCTCCCGTCGCGCCTCCACCGTCAGTAGAAAGCAAAGAAAACGTTACCTTGGAAGATGAAGAGAGAGCGCTTGATGAGCATTTGATTACTCACCCTTCTGATGTCGACGCTCTTCGTTCCTTGATGGAGGTAAAGATCAGATCTCGAAAGCTTTCAGAAGCCGTAGAAGTGATCGATCGTCTGATAAAATTGGAACCTGAAGAAAAAGAATGGCCAGTATTGAAAGCAAACATCTTCACCTACAGTGGAGATTTAGATTTAGCTAAAACTGGATTTGAAGAGATTCTGGCTAAAGATCCGCTTCGTGTTGAAGCTTATCACGGCTTGCTTATGGCTTATTCAGATGCAGGTCTTGATTTGAAAGAGGTAGAGAGTAGAATTGAGGAAGCAATGTTGAAGTGCAAAAAAGAGAATAATCACAACGATTTTCGGGATTTTAAGCTACTCGTGGCGCAGATTCGGGTCATTGAAGGAAAGCATAGTGAAGCATTGAAGCTTTATCAAGAGCTTGTGAAGGAGGAACCAAGAGATTTCAGGCCGTATCTTTGTCAGGGAATTATATACACATTGTTGAAGAAGAAAGACAAGGCAGAAGAACAGTTTGATAACTTTCGGAAACTTGTTCCAAAGAATCATCCTTATAGAGAGTATTTTATGGATAATATGATAGCAACAAAGCTTTTTTCGGAGAAGGCGCAGCGTGAGATGGCTGAGGAGATGGCTGGATCAAGTAGTTGATGAGATTATGTGTAATGTTTTTAGCGAATCGTAATGAGGTGAAGAATTATGCTTAGAAGACTTGAAAAATGTGGTTTTGATGATTTTCTGTTGCGGGATTTTCTTGATCATCTTAAGATGTCTCTTTAGTTGGTTTACATAAAAGTTGATAAGTTGAATACTTGGTTTGATTTAATGATGGATTTGAATCACAATCCATGTGATGCTTATGTACATCTTGCTCCTTACCCAAAAGAACAGTGAAGCCTCATACTTTAGCTATACCATTCAGGCAACTTAATACATTGCTTGCTTGTTGCTTTGGGTGATGTTTTGGGCACAATTCTTTTTGATATTCCCGCCATCTCGTGAGAGAACCGATGGATCATATCATCTCTTTGCTGGTACTTTCTTACCAAAAATACCGGAAAAGTAAAGCATTTCATGTTGAGTTGATATTCCAGTCTGAGGTTTGACATGGAGTGTAAAGTCGTTTTGGAAATTAAGAGTTACTGTCGTCGTTTCCTCTGTATAATAAACTTGCATACATCGCGAATGCATTTTGATATCATGTGCATGTTGCCATAAATGCATCAGGTTTTGCAGGTGCTTGGGGGAGTGAAGACTAATCACTAATTAAGCTCAATCTTTCATTTTTCATTTTTTTTTGGGGGTCATAACATACACAATCGAAGTCTAATACTGCATTAGATTGTGTGCCAAAATTGCCAAAGTCTAGTCCAGTTAAATAGAAACGAAGAGATTTTGGATGTTATTTCAGTGATAGAAAAGAAGAAATCAGAATCCATGGAACCTAAAATAGAAATGTCAGTTGTTTTCCAACAATCTAAAACGCATCGTTTTTCGTTTGTCAGGTGTTGTGTGTCGCAGACGGACTAAAGTTGGTTGGTTTAAATGTAAGAAAGCATTCTTAAGGGTTATAATATGGAAATGGCGGAAGTTGAGGGGCTCTTTCAACAAATTCGCTAAAAAGTTTGGCTTCTATAAATCCGAGCGGGAAAGATTTGTTTCATAAAAAAACTCATTTCCAAATATCAAAATCCAAAGATGATTTTTGGGTTTGTGTTCAAGAGACAAGAGAAGAGTGCTCCAACAAGGCCGAATTCAGTGGGTTTCACGTTGGTGAAGAAGAACTTGCGTTTCAAAGCAACAACAAGAACAACGAAACAATCATCATCAACAAAGGAGATTTGCATTGGAGCAGCCATTGTTGTCGCTGTGATCTTTTTTCGTCGATTTCTGCATAGCGATTGAGATCGGTGGAGCTGATCTCTTAACTTAAATCTTTCGTTTCTCTTCTTCTTCTTTCTTGTCAACTCGTTCGCTCTCTTCTTGAGATTCTTGCTCCATCTTCTTAAAACCCAAAATCTCTCAAATCTCTGTAATCCGATCGACCTATCAATTCTTGCGTGTTTACAAAACCCTAAGTCATGGATGAATTGCGAGTATTCAAATGGTATTGTTTGCTTCTCCCGTGTACAGAGTTTTCTTGGAACCAAATCCAGTTCTCTGATTGTAGAATCTTTTGCTTGTATCGCAGGGTTACTTGAAATCTCTTGTTAACGAAGAGATTTCAAGGTATATCTAAAGAACGAACGAGATCAAATCCAGGTAACGAAGCAATATTCTTTAAACTCTATGGGTTTTTCTTCTTGTTTACGGAACATTAGCGATCCAAATAATCTCTTCGAGGCTGGTTTTATTAGTAGAGTCTGCAAATATAACAATTGGATCTGTCAGTTTTTCTCATTGCATTGCCGGGAAATCAAACGTTCTTGATCAGGTTTTACTATTTTTGTCTTCGTTTCTGTTCAATGAAAATCTGATGGTGTCTTCTTTGTAAATCCCAGATGCTTATAACTCAACACGTTGAACCTGAGACTGCTTAAGAACACTTTGTAGTTTTACTTTGCTTGCTCTGTCACTAGAGTATACTTGTTGGTATTGATTTTGTTCTTTTCTTTCGTTTTTACTGTTGAAGATACCATACTTGGACGAAAGTGCTTCTTTTGTCTCTGCATCACATAAGGTAAGTTGATTGACAAGTTTTTGCTTGAATGTTCTTCATACATTTTGGCAAAGCAGACCGATATGTTGATGCTTAATCAACTTAAGGACTCAAATTGTGATATTTGATAAGGAATTCTGAAACTAATTAATATACTGTTTTCCACAGGAACGAGAGCTTGAAGCAGTTGCATTGGTTCATTCTGACAAGACAAATCTCACTTCACTTAACGTAAACATAAGACATGATCAAGTCATGAATCTCTGTTAATGCTCTCTTATTTTTTTTAGTCTTGAAAATCTTTCCTTTGGTTATTTCAGGTTCCACCCATGGGTCTGTTTTATCTTACTCATTGTTTTCCTGAAGTGTTTCCCCAGCCACCACCGTACATGGTAAGAATCAATTCTTCTTATATTCTTTTCTCCAGTTTAGTTTTGGACCAGGGAGAAACTCATTTTTCACATTTTCATATTGTTTAGGTTCCAATACCAAGAGAATATCTTGGAGGAAACATGGACTCTGCAGATGGTGGTAATATGGGATTACCTGTGTGGAACCTGAAATCCAAGAAAGAAGAGGACATTAGTCTCGTGAAGCCACTACAAGCAGCATTCTCTCAATGTGTTTCACCAACTCTTAGTGTGTGTTAAGGCTTCCTCTGTTTCTTTCTATTTCACTTTCCTTCTGTACATGAAAAAACAAACCGACAAGACAACAATTTCCAAAAGGGTTTCCTTATTGATTGTCTTAGCCGTCTATGATATAGACTAACTACTAGTTGAGCTCAATCTCTAATCTCTTCTTATTCAAGTTGCCAAATTCACAAAGCACATTCACATTTAGATTGCTTGCACCTATTTGTTGTGGATATTCTGGAATCGCTGTCTAATAGCCATGTTGTGATTCATAATGGAGTCATAAGTTTGATACACATCTCTTTCCTCCAGGAGGAGTATGAATAAAGGACTCATAAGACGATTTTTTTTTTTTTACTTAGAACTTTAGATTCTCTTTCTGTTGTAGGTTTCTTATATTAGCTCATAATGCTTTACGTTGATTTTGAATTTGGGGATTTTGAGTTTGATTTTTTAAAACTTGAATCATGCGGCTAGATATGGAACAACAATTTTGTAACATTGTAATTTAATTTTAATACCTTATAATGTTAATAAAAAAAACAATATCTTGACTAATGGCACATGCTGACATGCATGATCCATATGATAGTAAAAGATTAGTCACTCATTACTTCATTGTTGACGCTCATATATTCCACTTGAGTGGAGAATATAAGATGGGATGATGTCGAAACCCTAGACATAGATTCTAACTCTTTCATCGTCTTATCCTTGTTGGTTGATCTCAAGAAGACTCCAACTCTCTTTAAACACTTAGAGTTGGCAAGGATGTATCGCATGATTTCTTTCTCCTCCCTTCTTCCTCTATATCCTTTCCACTCAAAGATCTCTAGATGGTTTGACAAACATTCGGGAACAGAACTCGGTTGGTTCCATGAAATTGGCAACTCCTTTTCGAGTCGTTTGAATGACTACGAAGAAACAACGTACAAGTGAATAAGTGATATGAAAACACATTTACTATTGCTTTTATCAATCCATCAAAACTGCATGAATAAAAAATGAAGGTAACAAACCTGGTCGATGAAAAGAACTTTTAGATTAGGAGAATTTTGAAGCAAACCCATTAGTGGTTCCAACCAGTACTCTAACTCGTTTAGAATAATCAGTTTACACTCTATAAGCCGAGAGAAGGTAATAGCGTTCAGCCACGCAAGCTGCAATGAACACAACAACACATAACTAAACGCTAGAAATGTGATCATACCAACAATTGAAAAAAAAAAAAGAAATCGAGAAGAGAACTACGAACCGTTGCAACGCTCAAAATTAATTCGAGACACATGATTGAGGAAAGAGATCTCATAAATTTGTTATCAGGGTAATGTAAAAGGTTGATCTTTGCCTTATCAAGGCGAGGCTTATTCTCAAACGAGCAAAAGTCTCCTGAATAATCTGTAATAAAGATTTTCTTTAAAACCGGTGAATCTATAACCAAAGTCCCCACAATACCTTCGTTTTGTGCTCCCAATTTCACATAATCATATGATAAGTATTCCAAAGATGGAACGTTTATATTAAAAAAAATCACGTTGTCTTGATGATGTCGATCCACGACCAAAGATTTGAGAATTGGACAACTCGATAAAAGTCTAACGACAGAATCTTCATCTTTATATACCACAAAGGAAAGTCTAAGACCTTTGAGGGATGGAAGGCAAGCCAAAGAAGGAACATCAATGAGAATTTTGTCGGAAAGACATAGAGAGACAAGAGTTTCACATGTGTAAAGGCTCTTTGGCAAGCTGGTTGGCTCCGCGGACCAGGTGAGCATGAAACATAGCTCTCGCACCTTACGATGATCAATCGCATTTGCAATCCACTTTCCCACATCAACATCATCAAGACGTCGTGGACCGAGTTCTATATGTAATAATTCTAATACAGGTGCTTTGTGGACTTGTAATGACTTGTCAATAAACCGTTCTTGCTTATCACTCTTCCCAAATAAACGGTCAAGCAAACGACCAAGTAAACCGCCAATAACTAGAGTTACATTGCTCTCTGCAGGGTACGTAAGTTTTGGCACCTTTGTCCAAACATACCGCCATCGTTTTGATAAAATCATAGTAGCCACTGCATCTTTTGTTGGGACTAGAAACAATATGTGCACGAGCAAATCGTCGGACAACTCACTGATCTTGTCTTCACCTCCAATACTCCGAAAGCTTTTGGGTTTTTTCTTCACAAAATGTCGGGATGTTTGGTCTAACAGTATCCCTACCGCAGACCAAATATGAATTCTGCTGAAATTTAACAAAAGATGTCGCAACATATTTGCTCCTTGAAACTGCATCGCCAACAATGATTCTCCAAACTACACCAACAAAGGTTTAGGGTTCTTAATTTAGGATTATATTATGGACTTGATATATACACGCATATATCTCCTTATGGGTTTTGATTTTAGGATATATATACAGGAGTTAGGAGATATTGTATCTTAATTTTTATTTAAAATAAGAACTAATTTTTATTTAAAATAAAAACTAAACGAGAGAAAGAACAAAAATTGAATCTTTTTACTTTTCAAATAAAAAAGAAAGAATAAAATCAGAGCTATATATGTCGTTGTATATATCGCCTAAAAACTTAACAAAAGATGTTGCAAAATATATATTTGCTGCTTGAAACTACATCATCAACAACGATTCTTGAAACTACATTACCAACAACGCTTAAGGGTCTCAATTTAGGATATTTTATGATAACTTGATATACACGCATATCTTCAAGTAAGAAGATTAGTTCTTTATCTCTCGTTTTATTTTTATATTAAATAAATACAGATATGTACCAGTTTTGTAAGGATCAAATCTCAAAAGCTTCTAGAAGCGATATAAGTGATCAATCGTCTTAAAAAATTGGAATTTTGAAAGTGAACATCTATATTATCTCTACAGTGGAGATCTAGATTCAGCTAAAACTGGATTTTAAGAGATTCTGGCTCTTAGCATTGAAGCTTATCCGACGTTATTGTCATTTCTTCTGTATAAACTTGCATATATACATTTAATATCATGTCATTTCCTCTGTATAAACTTGCATATCGTTTATTCATGTGCAGGTTGCCATAAATGCATTAGGTTTTGGAGGTATCTGAGGAGTGAAGACTAATCACTAGTTAAACTCAAATATAAGCTCTGATTATTCAAGTAGCTCAATGCACAAAGCACATACAAATGTTTTTATGTTGATTGCATCTATTGTGGATAATCCGGAAATGGACGTCCAATAGCCAAGTTGTGAGGAGTCATAAGATTGATAGAGATCTCTTCTTCCATGAAGTTGTCATGCCGTTTTTAACAGGACCACAATTTTGACAATCACAAACGATGATCTTCTTCTTCTGTAGGTGAAGTTTATAAATGCTATGCCAATTACCCATTTTCTTGCTTGATTTTGACCTTTGGTAATCGATAGGGAAATGACTGGTTAATTCCGGTTCTCTAAACCAAAAGACTATAATGTCCGGTTAACAGAAAAACGAAAAAGACAGTAGATTCTTTGGGGTATGATTGTCTTCATGGTCCCAAACGCAGTAGATTTGGAAGCTGATTGCATAATCCTTATCTCTGTCTCTCTCTCTCTCTCTCTCTCTGGCTCGTTGTAATCTAACAAACACATTCTTTGGTTTTGATTCAGTGTTTCTTGAAACCAGCTTTGCTTACGTGTCGGTCTGATGCAAAGTAGAATCAATCTCTGTCATTTTGGTCTCATATCTACAACTTTATCAATTAACGCACCTAACACTCAATCTTCGCATTATTGTACTGCCTTTGTGCTACTCAAGTTCCGAGAAGATGTAAGAAACCAATATGAGAAAAATTATATTTAGATTTTGTAGCAGAATTGAAAGAAGAGTGGTCTAACCAAAACTAAACCAAACAAATTTTGGTTATTTTGCATCTAGAGATTTTATCAGAGAAGATATTAAGATTTTTTTTATCAAATCACATGTCATATCATTTTTAGTATTTTATTAGATTAGTATCTTAAATTTCATAGCTTTTAAATAAACCAATAAATTCATGTTTCTAAAAAAATACATTTTAAAAAAAATTAATGATTTTTATAAGTAATTTTTTGGAATCATTTTTAATAATGCTATATAATTAATATATGGCTATGGCTGTTTTTATCAAATGAATACATCCAAAAAAAATTGTTAATTACATCCAACTTTTTACATTGTGTTTACCAAAAAAAAAAAAAATCCACTCAAGGTCAGATTCTTGTTGATAAAATGGGGTACCTAAAATGTAAAATTGTATAGATGATTGTTTACTTTCTACTTAAAAGCATACATTCAAACCTTTACATTGTACTGTATCTATCAAATAATAATAAGTTATAGATTTAGATTTAGTGAATGTTGGTCTAAGATGTCTAAGTATCAATGCTTAATTATTATCAGTAAAGTAAGATGTTGTTGGCAGCTAATCATAGGTTAAATATTAAATAGTTATGTCGCATTTGGAGAAATATTTAAACTTTTTAAGTGTTGACAAAAAAAAAAGTTTGTATGTTAGGGTCAATAGAGTCGATGTCACCTAGAAGGCAAACAAAATGCGTAAATTTGATCATAGGTTATAAATGTATACTTGACCTAGTCTTCGTTGTGTCGTAGACTCCGATTCCTCTCCTCGTTGATTCCTTATTGTTCAAATTTCAAATGACTACAACTAAATTAAGGCTCTGATTACAATTGGGTTATCATGGAATGATTAACAAACATAATTAAACAGGAGAATATAAATGGTAAGAACTACGCCATTTCTCTCGATGATATTAATTCTACTATATATAATTATGGACATAAAGATTGAGATTTCCAAGTGAAAATTGCTACCAACAATAAGCTATAACCATACTTCTCAATTAGGTAAAAAAATTTGTGACAACAAAATTGTAAAAGAGAATTTCTTTCTTTTTTCGTTCAAAATAAAAAAGAGAGTTTTAAGTTTTAACCAACGAAAAGAGACACTTAAGCTATTTAAGAAGTGCTTTCCAGTTAAGTAAAAGAATGGCAAGATTAAATATTTATGTAAAAGAGAATGTAATTGAATTGTTAGAAACTAAGATTAGAGATGAGGTTGCGTGTTAAAATTGTGTTCAAGTTGAACAAGTAATTAATCACATTGTCGTCTTCTTCTTCTCCACTTTTTCTTCAACTTTTCACAAAGGTTTGGTTCAGTTCCACTGTCAAAACTAATAGCTTAATTTTCACTAAACCGACATACTATTTTATATTAGATTATGGGACGATGCATCCTAATTCCTGAATTATACTATTATCATAACAAGATGAAATAAATCGCACTAATTAATTAATGTTTTTGTCAGCTACTCAATATGTTATTATAACAGCTTACAAATTACGACTTCTCACCGTAGAGATAATCTAACACGATAGATATATTATCTAATTATATAGTATATGAGACTACACCGAATGACTAAACTTATAGCATATTGAACTCTCCCTAAACTTTGTGATAAAATATAAATTACTATCAAATTTTTTAAAAACCACAGTTCAGGAAATTGTTTTTGCTTAAAATAAAATTTTAACTACTAAACTTTCATATATCTCTAGGGTTTTAACGACATCAAATCATGATTTGGTGATATTTGGATGTTATGAATAAGATTTTTTTTTTATCCACATACTAACAACACTTAAATGTCCAGTATAAAAATATCATTTTTATAATTAATATATCACAGTTTCACATATGTTGCTAATTTAGCCCCATGCCTTGAAGTCATGTGTGAAGATTTTTTCATAACAGATACACTGATACACACAACAAAATCTAACAAGATTGTGAGTGTTTGAAAATATTAGATTATATATGTTCGACCTGTTATTTCATGGAGAATGACGTTTGACATATCAATAAGCCAAAGACAATATCTGTGAACATGGACAAACAAAAACAAAAAATAATACTTTTATATACATTTATTAAATTAATTTATGGTGGTGCAAATCTTTATGTAAAATTTAATTAGAAATATTTACTATGGAATTTTATGTGAATCTCATTTGATTTTTGGGTACGGTAAGAGTTTTAAGGTTATAGATTTCTTTATACAATACGGTGTTTAAACCTAATTACATTTACAGCCATAATGAATCGAACGCATAACCGTTATAATAGTTTTTAATTATGAGCATCGACTACATTGGTCAAGGAATCTGCTTTAGCTTTTTTTGTTTCCTTTGTCTTTTGTTACTGTTTTTTTTGTTGTATATTTTCTACGCCTGAAAACTTTTCCCCAATTAAATATTACAACTTACAAATTTGTTTGTTTATTTTATTTAGTTTTAATATAGTTTTTATTGGTACTTTATTGACTTCCGAGTTACTAGTCACGAACACGAATCTTACCTTGTCCATGCAGCTTAACTCTAAACATCGGTTATTGTCAACAACGTTTTTCTTAACAATTGTTCATTCATATAATAATCAAATGTAAGCTAAAAAGCTGCTAATCGAAGAAAATAGTATTTGTTCTCTACAAATATTATACTATATCGGAAGTACACGCGTGTAAGCTAAAGCTGCTAATCGAAGACAAACAGTATTCGTTTAATTAACAGAAATAATACGAATCCTTCAAAATTTGAGAACACATATATGTATAATCCTTTCGTGTAGATGTAGTTTTGGTAACATTCCAAATTTAGTACAGTGGTACTGTATACAAAAGTTGGAAAACGTTTAGGATTTGTCCTCGGTGGTCTATTTAAAAAATAATAAGAAACAAAAAAAATGAATTTATTTCGAACCATCATATTCAGTATTGTTTCACTGATTGTAAAAACAACAATCATAAAAGTAATGATATGTGTGTAGGCATATAGGCGATCTGTATAATCTATGGATGCATCAACGTCTAACAAAAAAACCCATAAATCAAGGGAGACATGAAAATTTCAAAGTTAAAGATTCATTTGCTTTTAGTTTTGTTCTTTTCCGTTCATTTTTTTGTTTCCCATATCTAACAAAAAACCCCATAAATCATGGATAATAATTTTGATTTATTTTTTTGTGTTGCTGCGAATATATTTATATTTTAATACATACATACACACACACATTTGTGAATATAGGATCTTATCTTATACTCTTCTCTAATAAGAGATCAATAGAAAGAGTAATAGTACTGGTCAATGCATGATACAGGTTTTCATTAGTAATTAAACGCAAATTAATGTGAAAGCATAGTTTGTGAGAAGTTAGTAAAAACATTATGCATTTGAATCATCATAACATGAAACACCAGTAGTCATCAGTCTATAGTAGTTTTATATTCATAATCTAACCGTAAATTTAATACCAAGTAAGTTAACGGTTTGTTATGGAGAAAATGTTAAAGTCATTAAACCTGTTTTTTGAGCAATGTGTCAGATTAATTATCTTGAAAGCCAAGGCTGTAAGAATTTCTGTCGTTTTCTAGTTATAGTCATATTTGGATTAATTAGGGACTTTAAAGCTAAGGTTATACTATTTGTCACTGTTAGTAACTTAGTATACATTCAGAGTTCTTAATGAGCATATATAGTTTTTTTTAGTTTTTCTGGCTTGGAGCAATTAAGCATAGATTTAAGAAGATAAAGGACCATATAGTTGAACAGATTTCAAGTCTGCTGAACCTAATCTTCTCGTAGACAAGGGACTTCGGTTAGAGGTTAATATAAACATTTATATAAAATATATATTCTTGATTCAAAGTATGAACCAAATTATCACTTTTTAAAAATATCTTATACAAGGGTAAAACATATAAGTTGGCGATTTTAACTCACTTGTTAGATGGAAAAAAAGAAGAAGAATTATATAAACTTTGCTTTGACTACAAATTAATAAATATATATATGAAATCGAATTTCGAGAATTGGACAAGTTTTGAGTTATGTAAACTGATTAACCTAAAGATTTCTATATGAGAAAATATCGTTTGCTGCAAACTATCATGATAAAGGACCAAAATATACAGCAAACTTGGGTATTTTGTTTATTCTAAACGTTAGTAATCTGGATAAATAATTCCAATTTGTTGATTATGGTATACAACTAGTATTATAAAACAAAAAATCGGGAAAATGGAAGGGAAGAGACAAGTGGCAGCAAATTACGGATGCACAGAACTCAGTAAGTATAATAGTACCAAACACGCCCCTTTCCCATTTCCACTTTTTTCATTTTAACTAGACTTTTTTTAAAAAACAAAAAAATTTGAACTTTCAAATAAACTCTGAAACCATTTCCCATTACCTCTTTTCTCCGTCGTCTGGTTCGTTCTTCTCCTCCATCTCTCTTCCTCTTTCTCTTAATTTCTTCTTCTTCTATACCTTCTCTTGTCTTAGATCCCAGAGAATCGTCTGCATTTTTCTCAGGAGTTATGATTCCTCAGAATATCTTCCTCTGATTTTCTCTAACCCAGTAAATTTCCCGATCTAGATTCACCTCTCCGTGCTTTTTTCCCCCCTCAAAGCTCCGTCAAATGTTTTCCCCGGAGGTGAACAGTGAGTGAAAGATGAACAGATTTCGACTCAGCGACCTGAGTTCTCGAGATCGATTACCTTCTTCTCAAGTGCCCACTTCTCATCAAGGTTACAGTTTCTCCTCTCTCGCTTTTTTGTTTCCGTTTCCGTTTCTCTCGCTTTGGTTACAGTTTCTCCTCTCTCGCGTTTCTTTTGTTCTAACATAGTACTCTTGGTAAACTTTAGAGCAATTTTTGTGTGTTTTGTTGCTCAATTTTATAAATAATTTAGTAAAGCTTCTGAGATTTTTCTGAGCAAACCAAAACAAAGCATTTACTGATTTTTGTTTCCTTCTTCGGGTTGTTCGAGAATCTCGTAATGGAGGTCATCAATACCCTAATTGGTTACTTCTACAATTATAAAGAAATGTATTTTTATAAAATCTTGAGCTAAATAACAAAGACATGCTAATTTGTTTCTTGTGGAAAACTATAGTTTTAAAAGCAGAGTGGGTAGAGAGAAGAAGATGAGATTGCTACCTTTTTTTTTTTTTTTTTTTAATGATGAAGGAAAGAAAAGCTTTTTATAAAAATCTCAGGGCAGTGTTTGTTGGGTAGTGTCATGATTTGGTTTGTTAAAATTTCATTTTTTCAACAGATTTAATGATTCTAATTTACATGTAATGAGTGCTTTTGCTTAACCTCAATGCTTTATTGTGTTTTTATCGTCTTCTTCCTCCACTTATTGTGCTACAAATTACTCTTTTTGTCTCCCAAGTTTCCATATTTTTTTTTTTATTAAAGTCTCTTCCGTTGTAAAGTTGATTGCTTTATCAATTTGAGAATCCTAAAAAGTCACTCATTTTTCAGGAAAGAAACAGAAGAGTCAGAAACTCAAATCTTCAAGGTCTTCTTCTGAATTCAACTCTTGTCTTTCTGAAGCTTTGAGTGAAAACAAGGTATGGATTATTATTACTTTTTTAAGATATCTGTGAGGAAATGTTTGGTTCCTGTTGTTGTTTGAAAGTGACTTGTTGATCATATTGCTGTTGCAGCAAGATTTTCATACTGGGGTACCGATGAAAAGTTTGTTGGCACAAGAAATGTCAAAGCACAAGGAATCTAAAAAGAGATCACCAAGCATTATAGCCAGATTGATGGGTCTCGATGTTTTGCCTTCTCAGAGCTCTCCCCATAGGCAACAAAAGTCTATGGAGAGTCAGCAAGGCAGGAGTGGTGGAGGCAGTTCTTATGATGGTAATAAATCTCTTGGATGGCGCTCTAAGGGTGAGCAAAAGTTTAAAGATGTTTTCGAAGTTTTGGATGCAAAGATGGCAGAGAGCAATCGAAACTTATATCATCAGGGGAGGGTCAATGCTAATCTAACACAGGCCGAGATGGCATTCATAAGGCACAAGTTCATGGAGGCTAAGCGGCTATCAACAGATGATAAACTTCGTCATTCTAAAGAGTTTAATGATGCGCTTGAGGCTCTAGACTCTAACAAAGACCTCTTACTGAAGTTTCTTCAGCACCCGGATTCATTATTTACAAAACATCTGCATGATCTTCAAAGCACACCTCACAAGCCACAGTACCGTCAAGCACCATCCTTGAAGTCGCCAAACAGCCAGAGGCATGTGGATAGTGTGAAAACTCAGAAAGTTGATAAGGACTTGTCGAGGAAGAGTCATCGGTCGCCTCATCGGCATGGTGGTGGTGGTAGTGGTTGTCCTAGCCGTTCTCATACTAGGCGTGCTTCTTATGACACGATTGACTTACCAAATGAGGAGCTGAGAAAGAGGAGTGAGCTGCAGCCAACCAAGATTGTTGTTCTGAAACCTAACCTCGGGGAGCCACGTTATGCTGGTAGAAATTTTGCATCGCCAAGCTCGTCTTCCGATGAGTTCAGAGCAGATCGGAGGCTTCCATGCACCACCAATCATGGCAGGCAGAAAAGTAATGAAGATGTCCGTCTTTCAAGACAGAATTCAAGAGATTCTGGAGAAATGGCCAAAATAATGGCTAGGCAAAGGAAGGCGAGCTGTGGCAATGGTAGTGCCATGAGTTTTGAGACTTCAGGATTTAGAGGATATGCAGGGGATGAAAGCTCATCAGGGAGTGACTCCGCAAGTGAATCAGAGCTAGTGCCAGTAACTTCAGGAACAAGAACCGCCTTTAACCGTAGGAACTACCATCGATCTTTGCCTTCCAAGTCAACAACATCATCTGTGAGTAGGGAAGCCAAGAGGAGACTGTCAGAGAGATGGAAGCTGACACACAAGTTTGAGCACGAGATAGAAATTAGTAGAAGCGGCACATTAGCTGAAATGCTTGCAACTTCAGATAGGGAGGCAAGGCCAGCAAGTTTTAATGGACTCAGTTTCGAAGATGGGATTAGTAAAAGATTTGAGAACAACATTCATTGGTCTGAATTGCCAGAGCCGGTTGGAATCAGCAGTAGGGATGGTTGGAAAGGATACTGCTCGAGAAGTTTTTCAAAATCCAAAACCATCATGAACCAGGAAAGCACTTGTGGTGGTTACACCATAGTGTTGCCTAAGGGGTTGATCAATCGAGATGGATTAGTGCAGGGGAATTCTTCTCATCATGGAGAGCCTTCCTTATCAAGCAAATCTAGACCCGGCAGTAACAAATCTCATTCATCATACAATAGTTCGCCAGAGGTCAGCATCACCCCAAGTTTAAGCAAGTTTGTTTATATGAACGAAGGGGTTCCAAAAGAAAAGCTCTCTCCTTTTCAAGCACGTAACAGTTTCTCAGGAGATGCAAATTCAGACACTGAGGATAGTTCAGCTTCTGATGATATCAAGACAGCAATGTCTTCTGAGGCTCTAGATTTGTCAACTGTCACCTCGGTAACTGACCCTGTAAGTGAGCATGATTTTTCAAGATCATCTGTTTACATCTCAATTCGTAAACTAGAATATACAGGTTGTTGTAATGACAGATATCTTATTGTTTACTGATGTTCTAGGATATCTCAAGGAGGACAACTGAAGATGTGAATCATTCTTTGGTTCCTGAGCCACAGTCTCATGAAAGCTTAAAAGAAGGAGATCAACCAAGTCCGGTTTCAGTTCTAGAAGCTTCTTTCGACGATGATGTTTCATCTGGTTCTGAATGCTTTGAGAGTGTTAGCGCGGATCTCCAAGGTAGTCAATCAGTGCCTGCTATTCATTTTGTACATTATAATATTTACGTATAATTAAAATTGTTTTTGGTGCAAGTGTAACAATCATTTGACAATTGGTGCTAGTCTAACTCATTGCTTGGGGTAGATCAAAGAATTACGAGTAACTATAAATGTTTGACGAGTTATCTCTACGTTCCAGGACTCAGGATGCAACTTCAACTCCTCAAACTCGAGTCAGCTACTTACAACGAAGGTGGCATGCTCGTTTCGAGTGATGAAGAAGACACAGATCAAGAGGAGTCATCCACAATAACTGATGAGGCGATGATTACCCATGAGCTCGGAGAAGAAGACTGGAAGTCATTATACTTAGTTGATCTCCTAGCCAACTCCAATTTCAGTGGCTCAGACCACAGCATTGTCATGGCAACAACAACACCTGTAGATCCATCCTTGTTTGAGGATCTCGAGAAGAAGTATTCCAGCGTGAAAACCTCAACCCGGTTAGAAAGGAAACTCCTATTTGACCAGATCAGTAGAGAAGTACTCTATATGTTAAAGCAGTTTTCGGATCCACACCCTTGGGTTAAATCCACAAGGGTATGCCCGAAATGGGATGCAAACAAGATTCAAGAGACTCTTCAAGAATTGGTCACAAGAAAAGATGAGAAACCAAGCAAAGATAATGTGGAGGAGGAGTTGCAGTGGCTGAGCTTAGAAGATGATATTGAAATCATAGGTAGAGAGATTGAGGAAATGCTGACAGATGAACTCATAGCAGAGCTTGTGGTAGGTGCAATCTTCTAGAAAGTTAAATAATCTTTCTGTAACATAGTTTTAAGGGGAAAAATAAACAGGATAATGCAATATGTAATGAGAACTTCATCATAAAGAAGCATGTGTCCCTGTAATGATAGTTTCATCATAAAAGTAGGAAAGTCTCAACATTTTACCATTGATCTGATTCAAACAAATGAGAGGAAGACAATACAAATACACAAAAGTGTGTGATTCTTTTAGGTTTCCAGATTTGCCCTTGGGATTGATGATGGAGGTGGTGTCCAGAATTGGGCATTTTTGACCTTTGAGAGGCAACCCAATACTTCCAAAGGAGTGATGTCTCCAGTCACAGTTACCTTCTTTGAAGCAAAATCTATGTCGAAGGATGTCACACCTACTTATTGCAAAAAAAAAACATTTATAGTGAGCTTAATTAAACCCATTTAGAATTGTACATAAACAATCTATGGATTTAGCCCAAATCATTTGGGGTGTCCTCACCAAACCCAAAATATCCTTTTTATTTTACATTAAATTAATATCATATATAATATCTTCAGGAATCAGGATAATGTAAATAATAGTATTATTTTCTCATGATATTTTATAGAAATTTTATCAAATATAATATTATATTATAATTTATAAATATCATATTCATGTTTTGAATATGAAAGAGATAATTGTAGAAACATAATCAGATCGGTTACACGTATGACAATGCATTATTTACCCATTTAAGGCTATAGGTCCCGTAGCCCGCCTTAATCTTTGCTACCAAAAGAACTTAAAAAACAAACAATGTGTTTGCACAAAAACTTGCTTATAGTTTGGTAATCTGTTCTCTACTTCTCTTATACTTTTTTTTTTTCCTCGGTTCTTCTCTTATACTTACCTAAGTAAAATATGTATATTTGCTGTTGTTGATAAGAAAAACAAGTAAAAGAAACGTAAATACAGTAACAATAGAGGGTAAAACAGTGAAAACAGAGGACTCACCTTGCATTTTGGATAGATGTTTCTTCACTTTGCCTTGACAGCCTCTGCAGTGACAGTGAAGAGACACTCTAAGAACAACCACCTGCAGTCCAAAAGCCACGACATAAATCGCCCTCCAATCTTTTTTAATTTACTTTCATGCCACTTATGTACGGTAGAAAGACAACTTTACTTTACTTGCCTGGTCTGAACCTGAACCATAAGACTTCTTCTTCTCTTCTACGGCACCAGAAGAGCCTATTTTTGGCCCAAAAGCTTCACCCTCCACCGTTGCAACCGTATCCTGACCCGTAGACCCGGCTAAAGAAACAGGGTCGGATCCCAGAAGATACCTAGTAGAACCGGGAGGAGTTTTGGGCGTTGCAACAACACAACCAAAACTCTTCCTAGCTAAGCTGACGTCACTGCTAATCAGCTTCATCAACGACCCTGAATTGCTCCTCCTTCCTTTATCCACCTGAACACTCTTCCCGTCGCCGGAGGAGGAGGGTATTCTCGTAATTTTGGAAAGCTGACGGTAGGGAGCAACGTAGTCATCCCCGGAGGAACACGGTGCAGTGAAAGATCTTCTACCATCTTTGATAATCGGGTTATGGCGGTCGATGGCTCGAGCCGTGACGGTACGTTCGTCGTTAGCCGTAGCGGTCGATGCTTGCGATGCACAATAAAACATATTGGCTTTCATGTTTTATGGCAAAAACAAAAGCTTATTAATATATACAAACAAAAGAGAGAGTCACATATACGTTACATATATAAATGTGTAAATTGATAAATATGCGTCAGTGTGTCACATGAGTGTGTTAGTGTGTGTAAAGGTCAGAGAAAAACAGAGAGTTGAGTAGAAACGCTCTTGTATTGTCCACATAAAACGTATTAGAAGTTGAGATGTCACTATTGTGATATTTATGTACTACATTACATTATTCTCTTGGATATATTCAAATGTTGTATATTGAATTCGACCGATCAGCTTCTGTTTCAGAAAGTGGAATTAATAGAATTGAATAAAGGAAAAGACTTTAATTACACGTTTTTTTATTTTAAACTGAAGGTAGAAGAAGTGTGAAAGAATATAGAAATTTATTATAAAGTGAATGATTCCTTATATCTCAAGTTTTAACAGACTGAATCGCTCTATCTAACAGAACCCGAAGCGGAAACAGATATGCCCACAAGGCCACAACTAATTTTTCAGCTGCCATTTGCATAAATGCCTCGATTTATTCAAAACCTAGTAAATGCGAATTTTTACTTTTCGATTTTTCTTTTAAAATATGGAACATTTGAAAGTTTTTAGTACGATGTTTTCGTATATTGTAAATGCAAACAACAAACATTATTAGAAACCTTTCTTTTCGTTTAAGATACTAACCTTTTTTGGAAACATTTGAATCAAATATATTGATAAATACAAACGCAAACAAACAACCGAGACATATTGAACACAAGAAGGGTCCCTCGGATGTCGTTTTAAAATTATTCGAAAAGCTATTTTTTGTATAAACCGAGAGAGTATACTAATGCATATCTAAACAAATATAATGTGTAACACTACAACCAAAAAAAAAATATATAATGTGAAGAGTACAAAGGCTAATTTTTGTATGAAGTATGAACCGAGCGAGATTTATATCAATACCTTTCCACTAAAATTGAGCCTACTGGTAAATGGCCCAGTGACAAAATCCCTTTTGAGTCGAAAACATTAGCTAATAAGTAGTAAATCTGTGTCTTGGAGAAAGAACCAAATTGATGAAAAAAAAAAAGAGAAAGAACCAAAAAAAAAAAAACAGAGAACAAAAAGACTTAGCAGATCTCTTGAAAAAGAGACTATACATATATCAAATCAAAGCAGAAGAAGGATAATACTCTATCTCTGTGTGACTGACTTAGAGACCTTTACCTTCGTCTTCATTTAAGATTCGGTTACGGAAGTCACTAACCATGCGAGGCAGACCTTCTCGCAGAGAGATCTTTGGTTCCCAGTTCAACAGTTCCTTTGCTTTGCTTATGTCTGGTTTCCTCTTGTGAGGATCGTCCGCTGTGTTTGGTTTGAACTCTATGGTCGCGCTTGGATCGATCACCTCCTTAACAACCTGCACACAAAGTTACCATTTTATACACAGAATGGAGCGTTTCTTGTTGATTATGATAGTAAGATTCCAAAACAAACTGAGTTACTTTATTTATAACACATCTGAAATGTTGATGCAGATTTCTAAGGATGTATTTTTTTTTTTTTTTGAACAATTCTAAGGATGTATATAACAACCATATTAAACTGAATTCCTTCAAACTAAAACGGAACCAAACTTTCTTTAGATGAAACAAATAAAAAAATTCGAAGTTTGGACAGATTCTTCACAAAACTAAACCAAATCGAAAACTGAATGACCAGGGCTAAACTTTTTTTTGGGTTTCATTTCTCTTTTGCAGGGAAGTGAAAAAGGAAGATAGTAAAAAGTAAAGCAAACCTCTGCAAGTTCAAGCATTGTGAATTCTCCAGGGTTACCAAGGTTGAAGGGTCCTACGTGATCGTTTTCCATTAACGCTACAAGTCCCTCCACCTAGAAAGAGAAATCTTGTTATATATCAAGGCAATAGATCTTTTTTCACTGCTTGAAGAAATCAATCTTAGAGCAAAGTGTACTGAAAATGAGGTTGTTACGTACCAAGTCAGATACATATTGAAAGCTACGAGTTTGTTTTCCATCACCATAAACAGTCATTGGATGTTTGCGGATGGTCTGCATAGATATAAACCATAGTTCTGTCAGCGTGTTTAAAAAAGGCTTTATACAAAACAGTTGGCTTTATGTTGATGAAGGAGCTAACCTGGGCAACAAAGTTACTAACAACACGCCCATCATCAAGGCACATTCTGGGTCCATATGTGTTGAAAATACGAGCTATTCTGACCTGAAAAGTGAAAATGCAGTTAGAGATCACTCTTATATCCGTGATTTGGACAAAAATGGTCATCAGTTCTAAACATTCCAACATTGGAAACAAAAAGAAGAAGAAAGATCATCAGGGAGATGATTTGGAAACTAATGGATAGAATATTCCATGTGTGAATGAGAGTATGAGTTGCAGATTATATAAGTTCTCCATCAAGTGAGCTAAGAGCTTCCAACATATAACCCATGGGGTGATTAAGAAAAGTTACCTCTACACCTGCACCTCTGTGATAATCCATGGCCAGGGTTTCTGCAGTACGCTTTCCTTCATCATAGCAGCTCCTCTCACCTATAAAAAGATAACAGCAATTAGTGACCAACCTCTCGTTTATATATCTCATGAACTCAGGAGCAAATACAGAATACTCTAACTCACCGATTGGGTTCACGTTTCCCCAGTAAGTCTCTTTCTGTGGATGCTCAAGGGGATCTCCATAGACTTCACTTGTACTGGTGAGCAGAAACCTTGCCCCAACTCTCTTTGCAAGACCCAACATATTGAGAGTGCCCATTACATTTGTCTTGTAAAACTATTGTTAAGGATCAACAGAATCCTCATATCACCAAGAGAGAAAAACACATTCCCAATGGAAGCATTTCCTCACGAAATATCACAATAATTATAAAAGATTTTACTAAGATGCAAGCAAATTATCAGAAGAAAAAAAACTCTGCCTATCAACTGAATGCTAATAACAATGATCACCAAGCTAATGTTGCCTATATTGAAACAGTGGATTTGGAATCAAATCAAGATCAGCAGTAGCAAAACGATGCCAGAATATAAAAGTAATCAAAAGGATATGATAGTCTTCACTGGATTATACTTGTAATGAACAGGTGAAGCTGGGCAAGCTAAATGGTAAATGTGATCGACCTCAAGGAGGATTGGCTCAACCACATCGTGTCGAATAAGCTCAAACCTAGGATTCGAGAACAGATGAACCAAATTCTCCTTCCTACCAGTGAAGAAGTTATCAATCACGATCACTTCATCTCCCCTACCGATAAGCTTATCAACAAGATGGCTTCCGACGAAACCAGCTCCACCGGTGACAACGATTCTCAGTCTCTTGCGTCCGATACCGACGGGAACACGACCGGTTCTACCTCCGCCGCCAGAATTAAAAGTCTTCATGGAAGGCGGGGAATCGCTGACGGCGTAGGAAACAGATCTGGTGATTAACGAGGTGGATTCAGCGGCGCCTAAACGAGAGAGAGAAGGCTGGAGGATGAAGAAAGTGGATCCGATCAAGATCCCGACGAGGATAAAGAGGAGTCGTTGTTCACGGAAGAGATAGTGAAGCGATCTGGGAAGAGATCTGGGATGCTTTAAAGTTTTAGGAGAGTAAGGACTGGATTGGCTCATGGGAATCGTTTCTTCGTCACGCTTCGAGCTCATTTGCTTGTGAAGCTGCTTCATCGTTCTCCGATTAAAGCTCGTCGCCGGTGAAAATGAGATCTCAGAATTGCCGGGAAGAAGAGGTTTGGATCTGGATAGATTCAAACGTAAGAGCGATGGTGATGCAACAAAAGTAGTTAGTTACACGGCGATTACTTGATGCAATCCTTCGCTCTCTTTTTTATTTTTTCTATTTTTTTAGTTAGAAAGCAATATATATGTTTCGCTTCTAAAATCTACGTGATTATCAGATAATCTAATTAAGTAATTTCACTAATTGTTTAAAATATATGCAACTTTTGTATATATATTCTTCTAGTGAGGAGATTTTTTTTTTTTTCGCCATTCTAGTGAGGGGATCATTAATGTGATTTGCGTTTGATTTGTAATTTTGTATTAGATTCAATGATGAAAGAAAAATGTGGAAAGAAAAATAAAACTCCTCGAGGCCTTTTAACAGTTGGATGCCCCAGTATGGACCCATTAGAGCCCAAACAAATGTTATTCGTACTAGAGATCTCATTCTTCCTCGATTCACAGCTGGATTGCCCAGTATAGGCCCATAAGAGACCCAAAAAATGTTATGCCTAGGGATGGCTCTCTTGCTACTACTCTACAAGACAGTCAAAATTTATCGTATCATCTTAACAAATCTTAGAATTGAACAAAATGTCAAACCTGAGGGAATCTATTCCTTGATCTAGTCATACCTGATAAACCTCAAAGTGTTAGAAATTTTATATTGGGAAATTTAGCAAAATAGCCTCTACCAAACACAAAATTTCAAAACAAACTTTGCAGAGATAAAGTCTTACTAAACGTAACCAGAATAATATTTACTCATTCTCTATGTGATAACACTACTTAAGTGTACGTTCCAGAAAATATGTATTTCATTCGTTCAACTTGATAGAGATAGGCCTCATATAAATCATCATGATGGTACTATGTTCTATGTATATAGTTTTCTATTAACTCTTGAGATGTCTTGTAAGAATAAGTTTTTCAAAGTAAAATAATCAAGAAAACAGATATAACAGCCACACCAAACTTTCATATGCCTAAATCTAACTCATCACGTTAAAGTTTCTATTACATATTCCTAATGACAATTTTTGTTGTGTTTTCGTGTGTAGCTCTACCTCTACAACATCAAATTAAAAGCCAAACTCTCCACGTTTTGATGCCATAGTTTCATATTCATTATATATTTATATTTACATCAATTATTTGTACAAACCCGTATGACTTCACTTCCCTCATACCATTTTTTTTTTTTAAAGGCTTCACTTACACTTTATATAACTAGTAATGCGTTCATGATTAAACAAATACTTGAAAGATTACACGCCATAGCTTCATTATGCATAATGGCATGCCAAAATCCTAATTATGGGAATATCTTAGGTGTTTGATATTAACTAATTGCTACAAATTTAATTAATAACTGCTAAATACATGTTCAAAATGTTGAATGATTTGATTTTCTACCATGCTTTAGTTACTTAACGAAGATATTTACTGATTCAAAAAGCTAGAAATCCAAATAACCCCTAGTCAAATATTGATTGTCACACCTAAAAACAATCCTCAACTTGTTTAAAACCAAGTCTTAGAGCCTGTGAGTGAATATAGAAAACTCGTGACTATATTATACAAAAGAGTAAGAAATTCGTGACATAGATGGACAATTACAAGAAGAAATTATATTCCTGACATGTCACATATGCTATACTTTTTTACCCCTTTTTTTCTTATTGCAATTCCATGAAATCCGGATAAATTAAATACAGATGAGATAAACACGTAATTCCATGGAGTAAAAAATGTCCACTGTGTGAACAAAAACCACCTAAAATAGGATTTTTTACAGAGTACCTTAAGCCCCAAGAAAAAATACATACAATAATGGGAAAATGTGGATGGATTTGCCCAACTCCTCACCTACTCTTAACTTCAATGTATATACATACGAAAATATAAACAAAAGATATGTATGTATATGTCAAAAGCTACAAAACCCAAAACAACTCAAAGTTAGATACTTAGAGATCACCAAACTAATTGACAAGTCTCTCTTTCATTCTTCCATCCAAATATCCTATAAAGTCGATCAAAACTGTTCTGTTGGTAAAGACCTTTAGACACATTACCTGAGGCCAAAATATTAACCAGACAATAATTTACATGATGTCTGGTTTGTTCGGTAAATTATCTCCGGCCAGACGGGTCAATGGCGATGGCCTCCCTCTGTTTTACAATATCCATAAGTCAGTGGAGCTTCAGAGATGTCAAAGAGACACGGCGCGGGTGTCTGTCACACTTGCAGAACTTCTCATGAGTGTGGAAGATGAGGGGGATGACCACAGTCGGGCTTTGGATGTTGCAGTTGCCTCCAATTTCTGGGCCTCGGTTCCGTCTTCTTGCGTGCCTTCTTCTTCTCCGTTTGTTCTTTCCTTCAAAGACTTGACTTATAGTGTGAAGATCCAGAAGAAGTTTAAGCCCTTCCCCTGTTGCGGTAATTCGCCTTTTAATGGTATGGAGATGAATACTAAGGTGCTGCTGAATGGTATTTCTGGTGAAGCTCGGGAAGGAGAGATGATGGCCGTTCTTGGAGCGAGCGGGTCAGGGAAATCAACCCTTATCGATGCATTAGCCAATCGGATTTCAAAAGAGAGCCTACGTGGTGATATTACTTTAAACGGGGAAGTTCTTGAATCCAGCCTGCATAAAGTCATATCGGCTTATGTGATGCAAGATGATCTTCTGTTCCCGATGCTCACCGTGGAAGAAACTTTGATGTTTTCTGCTGAGTTCAGGCTTCCAAGCTCGCTTTCTAAGAAGAAAAAGAAAGCACGGGTTCAAGCTCTGATTGATCAGCTCGGCCTGAGGAACGCAGCAAAAACCGTGATCGGTGATGAGGGGCACAGAGGTGTGTCTGGAGGAGAAAGGAGACGGGTGTCAATTGGAACCGATATAATCCATGATCCAATTATCCTCTTTCTTGATGAGCCAACCTCAGGTCTCGACTCTACCAGTGCATACATGGTTGTCAAAGTGCTTCAGAGAATCGCACAAAGCGGCAGCATAGTTATCATGTCCATCCATCAGCCGAGTTACAGAATCTTGGGCTTACTCGATAAGTTGATCTTCCTATCTAGGGGAAACACAGTTTACAGCGGCTCCCCAACACATCTCCCTCAGTTCTTCTCGGAATTCGGTCACCCAATTCCTGAAAACGAGAACAAGCCAGAGTTCGCACTCGATCTTATCCGTGAGCTAGAAGATTCTCCACAAGGAACCAAAGCCCTAGTCGAGTTCCACAAGCAATGGCGAGCAAAGCAAACCTCAAGCCAGAGCAGAAGAAACACCAATGTATCTCTCAAAGATGCAATCAGCGCAAGTATCTCCAAAGGCAAACTTGTCTCCGGAGCAACAAACCTAAGATCATCATTTCAAACCTTTGCAAACCCATTCTGGACTGAAATGCTCGTGATTGGCAAACGATCTATACTAAACTCAAGAAGACAACCAGAGCTATTCGGAATGCGCCTCGGAGCTGTTCTAGTCACCGGAATCATCCTAGCCACAATATTCTGGAAACTAGACAATTCACCAAGAGGTATACAAGAACGTTTAGGGTTCTTCGCATTCGCAATGTCCACAACATTCTACACCTGTGCAGAAGCAATACCAGTCTTTCTACAAGAACGCTACATATTCATGAGAGAAACAGCTTACAACGCTTACCGGCGATCATCATACGTCCTCGCTCACACAATAATCTCAATCCCTGCTCTAATAATCTTATCCGCCGCCTTCGCCGCCACAACGTTCTGGGCCGTAGGACTCGCCGGAGGCTCCGAAGGCTTCCTCTTCTTCTTCTTCACAATCCTCACAGCGTTTTGGGCCGGAAGCTCCTTCGTGACATTCTTATCCGGCGTAGTCTCACACGTGATGATCGGATTCACGGTGGTTGTAGCAATCCTCGCATATTTCCTCCTCTTCTCCGGATTCTTCATCTCCAGAGATCGAATCCCAGTCTACTGGATCTGGTTCCATTACCTCTCTCTAGTGAAATACCCTTACGAAGGTGTTCTACAGAACGAATTCGAAGATCCGACGAAATGCTTCATCCGTGGGATCCAAATGTTCGACAATTCTCCACTGGGACAAGTCCCGGCCGCCGTGAAAATCAGCCTCCTGAAGAGCATGAGCGGCGTTTTGGGGATCAACGTGACGGCGGAGACTTGCGTAACGACGGGAATCGATATTCTGAAACAGCAAGGAATCACTGAGATTAGCAAATGGAATTGCTTGTGGATCACTGTAGCTTGGGGATTCTTCTTTAGGGTTCTCTTCTACTTCACACTCTTGATCGGAAGCAAGAACAAGCGTCGCTGATTTGTAAAAAAAAAAAAAAACAATTAGAGTAACTAACCAATGATTATGATGTACTTAATACTTATGATTAATACAAAATTACATATGTCTACTAAATCTTTAATGGGCTTGAGAGTGTAATATAAGGCCCAATAAAGTACTAAATTGGAAAGTGTGCAATTTTCTATTTTCTATATCGGTAACATCGACGTTTATCTCGCTGTTAAATCTAAACCGTTGATTGAAACAACCACCAACAAATCTCAACCGTTGAATCTCGTCGGTTTCCAACATATAAGATAGGGGTTGAAGACTAATCGCAGTAATATCCGGTTCACTTGCTTCGTTTCGAAATTATTAGGGTTACTGCGAATTTGCTCTCTCCTTCTTCGTCTCCAGGTATGAAGAAGAATCTTTGTAATTGGATCTGTTTTGGTTTCGATTTTGTTGTTCTTCGCTCTCTAGATTAGGGTTTTCAATTGGTTTCTCGTTTCTTCGCCTTAGATTTTCTTTATAGGTTTCTTTCTGTATAGAGATTTACATTATGTCCTAAAGAATGTGTTATTCAATTTTGTTTCTTTGTTTTTAGATGTTTGTTCTGATGACAAATCGTAGATATTCACATGGGTTTCTTTGTATAGGTCTGAGTTAGTGTTCTAGCTCTCTGGTCTTTTCTTGTTAATATAATTTTAAGAGGATAGTTTGATTTGTGAATGGTATATATATTATATGTGCCTGATAGATCATGTTATAAATATTGCAGCTTGACAATGCCTCGCTATGATGATCGCTATGGAAACACTCGCCTCTATGTTGGTCGCTTGTCATCTAGAACTCGTGCCAGAGACCTTGAACGTCTATTTAGCAGATACGGAAGGTAAAGAGTCTTATTCTCGTCTTGGTTGACCTAATTTGATTTTTGTGTTCTTGGGGAAATAAGTGTGAGAATGTTTTGTTGATTGTTCTTTGGTGTGAATCTGGAATGATTCCTCTTTGATATTGTGCAGGGGATATATACCTTAAGTTAACATTAGAATCAAAGAGGAGGATAGTTTTTTCTTTTTTGTCTTGCTACTTATAACTTTGCATTTGTATTTTCATCCATGTGGGGAAATTCTGGATCTAGGTTTAGTGGATTTTTTTTCTTTAACTTGAATGATCTTGTTGAAGGTTTCTGGGGGTTTGCCTAACCTGGAGATGTTTGATGAATGGGTGGACTTGGTGTAATTGGTGGAAATTCTCGTCTGGTGTATAGAGGGTGCATCGGCAATTTTGTTTGTTGATTTATTGCATGTTTTTATTGGAAATGGCCTCAAATCTCAAAAATGGTGTTTGGAAGTTCCTTAAGTAATGATGGCCTTGATTTTCTGGCAACAATTTCCGCAGAGTACGTGATGTGGATATGAAGCGTGATTATGCCTTTGTTGTAAGTGTGATATACCCTTTTCTTTTATTCAAGGGTTTGATATCTCAAGTTTGTCATGCGCTCAAACATTTTTAAATACTATGCATCTATCATTGGTCCTCACATTTTGAGAACAGGAATTTAGTGATCCTCGTGATGCTGATGACGCAAGATATTACTTGGATGGACGGGATTTCGATGGAAGTCGCATCACTGTGGAGGCATCAAGAGGGGTTAGTTATTTGTGTCTCTATATTACTGATTCCTCCATTGGTTTGATGATTTGGATGACAATATTACTAATATCATACTAAAATTCTTGAATTTATCATAGGCGCCTCGTGGTTCTCGGGACAATGGTAGCAGAGGCCCTCCTCCTGGTTCTGGTCGCTGTTTTAATTGTGGTGTTGATGGTCACTGGGCCCGAGACTGCACAGCAGGAGACTGGAAGAATAAATGTTACCGCTGTGGAGAAAGAGGACACATCGAGAGAAACTGCAAGAACAGTCCTAGTCCAAAGAAGGCCAGGTACTAAATCTTTGAATCCTTGTTTTTGAACAGTTTGTTCTATCCTTTAAGCTTCTTCTCATATCTCTTTTGGATTATAATTCTCCAGGCAGGGTGGAAGCTATTCCAGGTCACCAGTCAAATCCCGCTCCCCTCGTCGCCGAAGGAGCCCAAGCCGTAGCCGTAGTTACAGTCGAGGTCGCAGTTACAGGTCAGTGATAAATTTGGACTTTAGACAACTAGTTTCCCTAGCATTGTAGAAATTATTCTTACTTTGTAGGCTATTAGTACGTTGATGACAACACTAATTTTACACGGTATTATGGGCTTATACCCTTTTGTTGACTCTTTATTTCTCTTTTCATCAGTCGATCGCGATCCCCAGTGAGAAGAGAGAAAAGCGTAGAGGACAGATCACGCAGCCCTAAGGCAATGGAGCGATCTTTGTCACCTAAAGGCAGGGACCAAAGCCTGAGCCCAGACCAAAAAGTGACAGATGCGAGCCCAAAGCGTGGATCAGAGTATGATGGTAGTCCAAAAGAGAATGGTAATGGCAGGAACTCTGTGAGTCCCATTGTTAGAGGTGATGAAAGTCCTGTTGGACTTAATGGTCAAGACAGGAGTCCCATTGATGATGAGGCTGAGCTTAACCGTCCTTCCCCTAAAGGCAGTGAGTCACCTTGATGGCACACAGGTTAAAGCTCTATGAAGCATTGTGTACTGATGGATGTTGTTTCCTTCTTTCCCTTTCTTTCTGCTTGACACTTTCCTTTTGGTTGCGTTACAATACTGGATTTACTTTCTTTGTTGACTTTTGGTTTGTTTTTCGACAACTTTCCAACTCTGTGATGTTACTTTTCATTGTTTAGTAACAACGCTTGATGAAGTACCTCACTTGTGGATCGTTTAGTAAGAAGAATAAAGCACCTCATGGTGCTTTATTATTGGCTTCTGTTATGTTTATAATTTGCAAAATATTTTGTGAAAGAAAAAAGATGAAATTAACAATCGCAGTCTAATTCTTTTAGCCTCTTTAACTGTCAAACATTTATGACAAAAGAAATAACATTGACTTTACCATTACATGAAGTAAGGTGTTGTATGTAACTTTGTATCCTTTTTCTCCTCTCTATTTCAGACCAAAACAAAAAATGCTTGTGAGGTGGATCAAGAAGCTCTGTATGTATGTACAAAAGAGGGGATTTTGAGTTACGAGGCCACACTGGCCTTAGCTTCATATGGTATTTTCAAGGCCAAGTTCGTCCTCAATTTCATCACCATCTTCAAACAGCTTGAGAAACCGGGCCTGCTCTTGTTGCCGTTTCTTCTTCCTCCAATACTTGTAACCTACCAAAAGTCCCACCGCAACTACACCTAATATGAGTACTACAATCAGTATCACAATTGCAGGATGCATTCCGCCCTTTTCTTCTTCCTTCTCAGTGCCTGATTGTTTATTTGAACCTGTAGAAAAGAAAAAGCATGCATATGATTTTCCAATCACAGAAAACATAATCAAACTGAAGCTACCAACAGAGAGACATGTGAGAGAGACTTTCTTTATAGTTGGAGGAAACAGTATTCATGTAATGAATGAACCTCACCAGCTCCGACTTGTGAGCATCCATGGCAAAGAAAAGTAGCATTAAATTCTTTCTCCTTTACGCGCTTGTAACTACCATCTGGTGTGAAATCAGAAGGACAAAGCTCCCATTCGTCAAATGTATCATATTTAAGGGGGTCGTCCTCATAGATTCCACATCTCTTGCATTTTGTTCCTTTCAGTTCGGTTAATGGCTGAAAAATATCCAAAAAACAAAACGGAACTTAAAGTTCAAAAGACAGTGATGATAATACTAACCTTCAACATAAGACAGCCAATTTGTTTGCCTGTTAATTAGATTTTTCACAAAAGAAGAAACAATTCCACCAACTATTTCGATCTAAACACCTCTTATAGCGGAGCAGTTTCAAGTGGTTTACAAAAAAAATCAAAGGCAATCCTGAGATCTCTGTAGCAGACTCAGCAATCAAAACTATATTACCACCACAATCCCAAGGAAATCAGTCAATAGCTAAGAACTAGGTTAGAGGCAGCTCTTTTTTCCTAATTGAAGATCAAATTACACAACCAAACAATATCGAAATTCTTACTAGAGCTATCCAATTATTCAACGACATAATCAAAACCATATCAGCATCAGACCAGCTACATTTAGAAAGAAAAAAATAAGACAAACCTGCCAAGATTCTTCGCCATTGAAAGAATAAGACACATTGGTTCTCTTCACATCAGGCAACACCGTCTTGTTCTCTCCTTTGCATTGGAAATAGACTGTAGGCTTAGTGGAGAACCAGTCGTGAGTGGTGAAAATCCGAATCGAATCAAGTGTAACTTCTTGTGTTAGTATTGTTCCTGTGACGATAAAAAAAAAATGAATCACTATCAATGATCATCTATTATTTATTACACGAGCAACAAAACACTTTCCCAATTCGAAACTGAAGATAAAAATCACTCATCCTCATAAAACATTGATATTCAAAAACTAAAATGAAGAAATCATAGTAACTACAAGAAGCAAGACAAATAAATTTACCAGGGAACGAGCTGAAGAAGATGAAAAAGAGTAGGAAACCGCGAAAATCCCAAGAAGCTGATGGAATTCGGATTGACATCGCGATTCCGTATCGAATCGCTCGATCGAATCCGATCAATGTATAATTAGGGTTTTCGATTGACAGGAGAATCTTTAGTCGAAAACGATGCAGATCAGGAGGCACTGTTGGATCTCATCGAGCTATTGGCTATGGCGTTGGAGAAATGCGTACCGCCTTCGTATAGGAGGAAAGGAAGAAAGGAACAAACCGAGCCTCTTGTGTTGACCGCTTTGGTTTTCTGATTTATATTAATTTACATGTCAACTATATTAGAAAGTTTTTATTCCAAAAAAAAAAAAAAGTTTTTATTTAATTTGCCAAACAGAAAGAAGTAATTATTAAAACAAAAAAAAATTAGTATATTAAATTTTTACAGATAAGAATTAAGAACATTATGATTTTATAAAGATAATGATTTTACAAATACTATATTACCCAATCATATTTCTAAATTATTCATTTATGTAACTTAATTTATTTGTACAAATTGAAAAAATGAAGGTTTACTTATCTTTTTTTTCCTTCTAAAAACTTTCATTAGACAATTGGTATCACAACAAGTACAAGACCATTACAAAACTTCATAAAACAATTTATTACATAAGCAAAACTATGTGTCATATATTGAAGATGACGAAAGTGAAAAAGTCAATTTGACGATGCTTCCTTTCGATAAGCCTTACTTGATAACATAGTAAACATGTTATGTTCCTTCTTCATAAGCCATCCTACTCGAATGTGATATGTATGATGTATTGGCATTCTTTGTTTGAAACTCCACATAACATGTAGAAAACCCGTTGTTCCTAGAATAAGTTTTGAAATCCCGACAATCCGATACCAATTAGTCCGTATCGGTGTCATAGTGCACATTAGAAAGTTTGGCTTGGTACTAGTGTAATCCCATCTTATTATACATCTCAAACCAAATACGTCGTTGAAGAGTTTCACGACAAATGTCTCCGATGTGATTCCGGGATTCCATATTCCAAAAAAACACCGTGAATGAACCACATCATCATCGCACGGACAATTACGCCTCTGAAGAGAAAAGAAAACCCTGAGAGCGGAGAACCGAAGTGGCATCGGCTATCAATGTGGAGACCCAAAATTGAGACAAACCCAACCATGGATTTGTTAACAAAGGCATCATCATGTCCAGATCGCCATGTTCTAATCTACACTACCAGACAAACCCATCACCGAAAAATCATCTATTACTTTGCCACATGAAACCATTTCATCTGCGAGAAGAAGCCAAGCAATAGCAATTGGTGATTTGGTGATGATCGCACAAGTAAACACGTCTCTGATTGAGATAAAATAAAGGTTTACTATTATCTATATAATTTATGCATGAATCTTCATTTTAGTTCGTTACTTATCACTCAAGTTAACTATTTCTGACTATTCTTGAGATGCAAAACGTTAATTTTGATTACTGATTGTATGTCGATTTAATTGAGATTTGATTATTTGACTTGCATAGACAATAACTTTGTTTACTTTCCTCAAAATCATATACATACATAACCAAAAAGAAAAGTAATATGTTTATTTTCACAAAAAAAAAAAGAAAGAAGAAGCATTATTTGTTTATTCTAAAAAGATGAAGACTAATTGGCATGATCATCTTCGTTGGAAGTTGAGTTTGCCCACGAAGAATGCAAACATAGAAGCTAACGCAATGGGAAAAGCGATTTGAACAACCGCCGTAACCGCCAAACGGTCATGATGAAATCCAAAATAGTCTTTCAAGAATCTTGCAACCGTCGTGGATTCTCCAAAGACATTGATCTTTTCGTCAATATCACCGTATTGGGACGAGAAAAATCCGTTCAGTGTCCAAGACGTTGGTGTTAGATAATATAACCAAATCCACCACCCTGGAACTTGCTGCAATTTTCATACACCAAAAAGGAAACATTACAAAACATTTCCTTCTTAGTATTAGATATTCTTGTTTAATAAACTAGAGGATCGGTGATCTTACCGTTTGGGGGATCAAAAACCCGGAAAAAAGGTTGAAATTAACATAGAAGAGCGATTGAAGAATCGCGGCAACCATGAAGTTTGGCGTGATGGAGACGAGGAACATCGCAAGGTAGTTAAAAGTGAGAAGTGAGCAAAACATAGAGTAGAGTGACCAGAAGACTTTGTAGGTTGAAGGATAGAAACCGATCATTGGATATGTTATGATCACAAACTCGGCGGCTTGTATGAATATATAAGGTATCTCAGTCACCACTTGACCCAATGCGTAAGCAGTCGCTGAGTACATTCCTGCGAATCTTTCGCGGTACATAACATTTCGCTCTGTTTCTATATATTGAATAGCTGATGAACAATTGTTTATCCCTAAGAAGAGCACCAAACCATAGATCGCTCCAAACACAGTGAACATACCCTGTTGAGTATCTCTACAAACGAGAAAACACAAATCAAAATGTTAGCAATCTCACATATCAATCAATCTACTCATTCGAATCTCACTCTCCACTTACATATTCTGGCCTTGTTTCCAGAAAAGTGAGCCGAAGATCAAAGAAGAGACTAATGTGTGAATCATACGCATTAGGTTATAAGAAGGGCTTCTCCAATAAGACAAGTTCATTTTCCATAGAATAGATCTGAATTGTCCCCACCAACTTTGTGCAAAAGTTCTCTTAAACTGTATATCACTTGATCCTGAATCTGGTTGGCTCAACTGTTTCACAAGCTCTGCGTTTCTCCTATAACAATCACACATGTTTCATTTAAATTCTTACAACTATAACAGTTTTGTATGCGTATATAGATTTAAAGGGTTACTCACTTGTAAAGAGCAGAGTCATGGTAGATTTTAGCAAAATCGACGCCAAGTTCAACTTCTACAGATTGTGAACTAACATCAAGCATCCATGTTGCTGGATTATGGTTGTCTTTTATTTTAGGAATTTCAGGAACACTCTGGTTATTCAATCCAAAGAAGTTAACATATGTTTGGTAAAAACAATCATAGATTAAAAGAAAATTTGAAACAAATTTACCTCAAAATACTCAATAATATGACGTGAATGTTGACCCAATGGTCCTGTGTAAATCATGCGACCACCTCTTTTAAGAAGCACCAACTGAAATTTCAAGTTTAAATTTTCTTCTATGTTAATAATTTTGGACCTGGTTTAAAAGTTTTGGGGTCAAAACGGAAATGTATTAATTTGTTGAGATGATTTTGCAATTACCTCGTCGAAGGCTTCAAAAATGTCGATACTAGGCTGATGAATAGTGCAGACGATGGTTCGTCCAGTATCAGCAACGTTCTTCACAGCTCTCATAACAATGGCGGCTGCTCTTGCGTCTAGCCCCGTCGTTGGCTCGTCCATGAATATAATCGACGGATTCGCCACCAATTCCACCGCAATCGTCAATCTCTTCCTCTGCTCCGTCGATAATCCACTCACTCCGGTGACTCCCACCAATGAATCTTTGATTTCATCTAATTCGATCGTCTCAAGCACTTGCTTCACAAATTTCTGTTCAGATTTCAACGATATGTTTCTTAACTTTTGATTTTGAGTCGATTTGATGGAAGAGAAGAGAGAATTAAGAGGTTTACGGTTTTGGTTGCGGAATCGATCTCAGGAGCTAGACGAAGCCAAGCGGAGTAGATTACGGATTCTTCGACGGTGATGTTTGGTGAGTGAATATCTGTTTGTTCACAGTACCCTGAGACTCTAGCGAATGTTTCTTGGATTTTAGGGAAGCCACTGATTCTGATGTCTCCTTCGATGTATCCGCTGGTTTTTCTTCCGGCTAAAACGTCGAGGAGAGTTGTTTTTCCGGCTCCACTCACTCCCATTAATGCCGTTAGAATTCCGGGACGGAAAGCTCCTGTGATATCTGAGAGAAGTTGTAGTTTCTTCTGATCATATCCTTGGTCTCTCATCTCCTGAGATTATTTATCATCATTGGAATATCAAAGATAAGCGAGAGAGCAATGGAGAAAATCTTGTGATATGGTTTATAGTTTTGAGTTATGATAGTTTTACCACGGGCATGTCAACGAAATACTTCAAGTCTTGAAATGTTACAGTGAGAGGCTTGAATGGTAAGACCATATTGCCTGTGGTCAGGAGAAAGTATTATTGGGAGAAAAAATTTTGAATGGAAGAAGTAGGAAGAGAGTCAACAAATTTTCCACCTTCTTCTTCCGTCTTTACAGGGGAATCTGTGGTCTTTTTCTTGACAGAAGAGTCGTCTGTTGAATTTTCTGTTCCTTGCAGCTCTGAGAGTTTGTCTTGCGAAATCATGGCTCGAGATGATGTGGGTGCTGTCATTTGGTAAAGGCTGTTTAAGTATGTGGCCATTGTGTTTTGAAAGAATATACATTTACTTAGTAGATGATGATGGACTTACATTTCAAGAACGTTAGAGCCAGAGTGAAAATGATGTTGAAGAGCACAGTGAAACCCAACAAGGCATACAATGATACCCAGTACATGTAACCATCGTAGTCCATTCCACGGGTTTGGAGTATGGTTCGTCCTAAGGTAACATTATTGGGTTGCATCTGCATGTGCAACCAGAAAGATACTGATTAGTATTGAAGAGTATACCAAACGAAGAAGCTTGGGTGATTAAGAGAGAAAAGGAAGGTAAGAAACTACGAGAGATCACCTGATTCCACCTTGGAGCAAGAAACTCGTTTACCGATAGCCCAATCTCACCGTAACTCAAAGGATTTACCCAGAAACCCCACTTAAGCCATGCTGGCATAGAAGCTGCAGCAAAGACAGAACCTTTTAGAGTCATGCTTGAATAGTACAACTTGTGAGGTAAGATTTAGCACAGGATTGGGGCAAAATCGTACGTGGTGGAATGACGAAACCGGCAAAGACAAATGTGAATAATATACCAAAACTGCCAGCGGTGATTGAAGCAACTACTGTCTGGAAGATTGCAGCTAGACACCGGAACATGGATATCGAGGTGAAGTGGACAGCAAAGAGTAGAATGAACTGCTTGAAAAACCTGGAGCATTAAACTTCATCATTTTCCTGTTGACTGAGCATTCCCAGACTTGAATGTGAACCTTTTTCTAGGGTTAAAGTACCAAGCAACAGAGGGGAAAGCTCACCTGGATGCTTCAGGGGTGTATCCAATGACATAGTATGTGAGGCCGGTCCAAACGAGAGATTCAAAGAACGAGAGAGGGACCTTTAACACTGTTGCAGGGATTGCATACGCCCATGCAGGATAGAAACACAACTGCTTCTGCTTGTAAAACACGGCTAGGCGTTGAGCCGTCATAGACAACTCTGGGAATCCGTCAACAAGAAGTATAATGAGGGCGAAAAAGAGGGCACTCATGTAAGAATTTCCATGAATGATATCAATACCCATCCGTGTTCGGATATACACAGTCATAGTGATAAATGCGGCCATAACAAGCTGCGAACATAAAGGTAGAAAGCTCAGGAATACTGTTGGAATCTAAAGTAGACAAGGAGAGAAATCTGTGGAATGGAAACTCTTAATGTACCTGAGATGTCTTGAAAATATAGACGAAATAGTTTCTCTTCATGAGAAGATATTCTCTTGATATGCATGCTATGAACAGCTCCCAGTTTGGAAGAGAATACACACTGAAGGACAAAGCATCCTTATGGCTTTTGGATCTATCATATGGCTTTGACAGAGTGTGTTCCATCTTTTTTCCAATACTCAACTCCTTGAACTTCTTTGACAACATATCTACCGAGACAAAACTATAAGGTAAATCCTCGTGCCGCCAGTATTGTGCTTGGTCTTTTTTGGATATAACCTTCAAAGCAGAACAAGAGAGGATGAACAACTCATGACTTCAAAAGCACAAAAATTTCATTTTAGGGAACAAAGCTTTGGTTTTCTTACCTCCTGGAGAAAGTCTGCGACACCTTTCCTTTCAGGGCATCGGAATCCACAATCCTCAAAGAAGTTGAGGACCTCACCGCGTGGACCATGATACATGATTCTTCCTTTGGCCATCAGCATTATGTCATCAAAGAGGTCAAAGGACTCTGGGGCGGGTTGAAGAAGCGAAACAAGCACAGTAGCGCTTGATATGTGAGCAAACTGCTGAAGAGATTTGACAATCTGAAAAGCTGTGGAACTGTCTAAGCCATTTGTTATTTCATCCATAAACAGAGCCTTTGTCGGGCCAACAATCATCTCAGCTGCAAACATTCAGAGATTCAAGTACTACTTTAGAAAAAGAACATGTCAGCAAAAGATGAGAATTTGGAAGGTTCCGAGCTATGAACTAACCTGTGGTAAGACGCTTCTTTTGACCTCCTGATATACCTCTCCTCATCACATCTCCAATCAATGTTTCTGCACAAATATCAAGTCCGAGAATCTGCAAATGCAGAAGAAGACATAAGAGCCAAACAAAAAGGGCCAGATTATCAGCCAGGTTATCAAAGAGACTATATTACCTTCAAGATGTAATCTGTTTGCAGATTTCTTTGGAGTCCTTCAACAGAAATTGCCTATAGGAAAACAAAAAGTCTCTAATCAACCACCTGAGTTTAAAGATTAGATTTAGAATAAGCTTCAGGGATCAGAGAGTGTCAGAAGAATGTACTTTCATGTAAGCATCCACTTCTGTGTCAGGAATGATTCCTTTTTCCTTTTCTCTTTTACTGACTTCCATCATTATATCTGTTTCCGCAGGAAAAGAAAGAATCAAGAATACATACATTTCAATGCACTCGAAGGAACATTGATTGGTTGATAAAACTACCTGTTCGGCTACCAACTCCCTGACAACGAGCTGAGAAATCAACTGTCTCTCTCACTGTCATCTCTGCAATGTGCAGATCATATTGACTTATGTACGCCGAAGTTTTCTGAGGAACAAACTCGTCCAGTCTGTGTCCATTGTAAGATATTTCACCTGAACACTGTGGAAACAAAAAGGGAAAAGACCAGAAAAAAGGTATGCACTTCACACATCTGTAGCCAAAAAATATTATCCAGAAAAAATGATGAATTGATTCATCATTAGAACCTTTAGATTGTTTTCTAAATTTCCAGACAAGGCCTTTAACAAAGTTGTTTTTCCACATCCAGGAGGACCAAGCAACAGTGTTAACCTGCAACAGCAAGAAGAATAAACACACACTTGAAGGTATAAAACTTTGATCAAGACTAGTTAGGAGACAACTACTAACCTTCCCGGCTTTATAACGCCATTAACATCATTAATAATGTTTATCTTCGCTTCGTGTGTTTTTGCACCAGTGAGCTTCACCAGTTCCTGGAGAAATAGAAACACAATAGAATTCAATTTAGGATCAAGACAATAACAACTTTGCGATTTTGCAGAAATTGTTGAGTACCCACAGATAAAACGCGCTTAGCAGTGTTCCACAGTGTTGGAAGTGCCTTCCCTTCAACAATCTCGCACTCGGCCTCCACTTTTAAACTCTCGTACCTCACTTCTATGGTCGGTAACTCCATCCCGACTCTGCACAACACAGTTTCAACTTTCTAGAATCAGAAAATCACAAATAGGAAAAGCTTTTCCCTAGAGATTTTGTTTTACTTACCTGTCTATTCTTTTCCTGATTTTCTTGAGCAATTTGAGATTATCATTCTCAATGTGTTTGATGAGTTTCTCAATCATCAGATGACGTTCCATGGCTCCAAGCTTTGTGACATCAACGACCCTTCTTCCTTTCTCGGACATGGACTCATCGCCATCATCAAGGAGAGTCGATCTCATTCGTTTGACAGTTGGTAATCTCTCAATCTCAGCCCATTGCAGAGCATACTCTGCATCATGATCAATAACATCACCATCATTTTCAAGTTCATATCTTGAAGAGCTGCTTCTGAAACTCGAAGTGTGTCTCCGGAACGATGATCTGATGCTTCTTCCAATCTCTGCAAGCTCCACTCTCAACGACTCAATCTCGTCTGCTCCAACCATATGAGCCATGGCTTGGCTTTTTTTTTTAATTTGACCTCTCTGAAATCAGAAATTTAAAGTCTAAATGAGAGATAAGCTCAATGCATTTTGACTTACGTATATTTATATTATGGGCTAATCAAATTGACACAATTCAATGATGTAAGGGAATACATCAGCTTTTGTTCTGAGTTCTTGAAATTCTTTGCGGATTCTAAGGTCATTGTATGGTATAAATTAATAATTAACACATGCTATCAACTATTAAAAAGAAAACAAATTTTAGTTTATGTGTAATCAGAGAAAACGTTGAAATACTCAAAGTTGAAAGCTGTAAGATCGTGGAGGATATGAATATCAGTTTTATATTCATGATGTCTCGGAAATGGTTCTGGGTCATGTCTTCTTGATTGCTTGATGCCTTTTTCTTACTAAATTATTTGTTATGTATGTTTCACAATTTAGATTATCTTTTAAAATTTTTCAGGTATAATAACAAATGTTTATATTGGACATTTCCCAACCAACAGCCGCAGCATGAATGATGAAACCCACCAATTTTACCCCACTAGACGAAAGATGAAAAACTTGGAAACTATAACAATTTTACATTACGTTTTCTTAGGACAAACTAAATCTATCGTTATGAAGTCATTCATAGAATTGTCATGTTTTAACGTGGGGAAGTTAGTACATAAAGAAGAAGACACCTCCATTTGATGCATTCATCTAATTTCTTATAGTCAACAATTCAATACGCATTTTTATCTATTTTCAAGAGTCAAAAATTACATGTAAATCACTCTTACTAACATCACAAAATATGGATAATTTTTTTATAGAAAAAAAAATTGTTTTCTATTCTCTTAGCAACGACTGTGAGGAGGATGAAAGCAATGACATAGTAATGATGTTGAAAGAATCAGCATGACACAGGCCTCCCTCAGCTAAACCTCCAACTTCGCCGATTTGTATTGTCCCTTTTTTTACTTTATTGAATTCATTAATGTCTCCATCATGTTCTGTACGGCAATGTCAACGCTCTTTTTTCTCTCCGGAATCAATACATTGACATTAAACTTACGATTGAAGTTGAACTAGATCGCGAGCATTATTATTAAAGTCGAATTATTAAGTTGGTTAACGTCTAAGAAAGGCAATTTTTGTTTATACAGGAAATCGCGGCGGGCAGTATTGTTAGGCCATGAATGAATAAATATTTGTCTTAAATAACATCTAAAGAGGCTACTGTTTTCGCTAATTTCTTTTTTTTTTTTTTTTTTTTTTTTGGTTTAATGTTAAAATTTATACCAATGAAAAAAGGTTTACATTGTACAATGAAAACCCCAAAAACACACCAAGCTCTTAGAAAGAGAGACTAATGGAACAACATACCACAAACATATGAGCTATGCCACACCTATAATGGGCTAATAATTACATCCAAAGTAAAAACCAAGGAGAGAAATTGTGCTTGAAGGATCCTCCGGCGAGAAGGAGATAAGACGGTTACGAATTGTGCGATCAACAAGAGATTTCTTGAAAGAATAATGCATAACTTCGGGCATGTTCTATATGAAAGGAAGCATAATAATGGCTTGTTGTTTGCTTGAGTCTAGAAAATGTGATCTTATTTGGAAAAAGTTGTAACGCATGTAAACTGTAGAAACAACACTTTCAGAATTCTGATCTAAATAAATGATTATTACTTGACAGGAGCAAGAATGGTGTAGAGAAGGAGGAATGAGACAATGACGATGGCTCCGACAAGTGTGAACCTTGGACTTGTCCAGAGCATTAGATTGGATCTCTCTGTTCTTTTTATGGGATCGACTTCTTCCGACAAGTCAAACTCCGATCTCGGAGGATTCCAAGTCACGTACTTGTCGACGTTGAATTGCGAGAACAATGACTTCTTGCTCTGCTTCTTGAAATTCTTCCACGCCTTGTCCCAATCCGTCGACGATTTATCACCACCACCTGACATAAAGAAATTGAACCGATTTTAACCGATTCCAATCCAATTTAATCTATTACTTGAATCTCTCACCGTTGGACTCGTTTCCGTTTCGGGGAGGTTCGTTTTTGGAACAACGGAATCTAGAAGAAGAAGAAGAAGATGAGAATCTAGGGATTATTCGGATGAGATTGGAAGATTTTAAGCCGGAGATTCGAACAGAAATGTCCATTTTCCGATTACGGTACGGACAAAATAAGAAAAAAGTATCTGAGTGTTTGTGTTCTTCTTCTTCTTCTTCGATTCTCCGCCGGACAATGTTCCTTAGCCATTTTCAATCTCTTCTTACGCCTTCGTTAGCGACACGTGGCTATCAACGGGACCCATTTTTTTTATTATGAATCCGAACCGGACTGGTTATTAAACGGTTCAAATCGGGTTTGGGCAATACCCTATCCTAGACTAGGCATCTCCAGCTTAACCGGCACTAAGTAACTCTTTGCTAATTTTAATGGCTTTCATTATCCAAACCTCAGCTATAATAAACTTTGCTAATAAAAATTTCAGGGTTTATCTCTCCGGAGAGGAGGCTTTGGGACAGCGTTGATGATTTGGTTTGAGAAGATGACATCTTTCGGTATTGAGCCTAATGCTATGCTACAACATTTACATTATTATATTTTATCTTTGATTTCATTTCCAGACAAAAAGGGAAAATAAAATCTGGAAAACAAGTGAAAGTGTGACACTATCAATATATCAATAAATCCCATTTAGCAAATGATGGTATCTTCAAGAGTGGTTACTTCATAGTTAAGAACAAGTTGAAGATCCATACTGGAGCCTCACTGCACAGTCTCTAGTTGCATTTTCCTTTGGCTTTTAGTAATGGCCTTATCTTCTCACTAGACCCACTCTCTTATTCCTTCTCTTTAATCTCCACCGTCCATCCAATTTGGACGGACCAGATCTCTTATCACACTTACCATTCACTTTATTAAAAAAAAAACTATCCAACAGAAACTTAAATTAATCTGAGTAACTCTTCTTTGTCAAAAAAAAAAAGAAAAAGTGCATTTGAAATTTCAAAGTTTTCAGTATGAACTTTTATTAATATGTTTTCCAGTTCATTAATAAACATATCATTTATATTTGTGTTATCTGTGTTTATATACATTTGAAAATGTGATATTAGCTAAAAAAATAAAATAAATAATACCCTGGCTACACTTCATAAATCAAACAATAATATCAATGTTATTTTATGTAACAGAGTAACTTTTATTTTTACTGACACAGATTTTAGAAGGAAAAAAAAAATATCCAAGTGGGAGATATTTCAAGTGGATAAAGATTTTTATTTTTTTGCAAGAAAAGAAAAAATAAAGTTACATTTTTTTTTTTTGCCAATAAATATCAAAAACTCGACTTGTGTTATCGCAGAACCCTTAAACCTTATCTCTTCAGTCTTCACCACCAGCTTCTCAGAGCTTTAGCCTCGAGAGCAAATTCTCTCAAGCTTTAGCCATGTCTGCCTCTGCTTCTTCCCTCTCTGCTTTCAACCCTAAATCCCTTCCTCTCTGCGTCTCCAGGCCAGCTTCCGTCTCCGTCTTACCTCCTTCCCTCTCCTTCAAACTTCACTCCGACCATATCGTCTCTCTCTTCGCTTCCTCCGCCGTGAAATGCTCATCTCCCGCGGAGTATCCGTTGCGTTTTGTTAGAAACGTTGCTGTATCTTCGGATTTTGAGGTGGAGGAAGATGATATGTTCGCTGACGGTGACGATTCAGCGCCTGTGGAGCGTAACTCTTTCTCTCCTGACCTTAAGCTCTTTGTTGGTAACCTTTCCTTTAACGTAGATAGCGCTCAGCTTGCTCAGCTCTTTGAGAGCGCCGGAAATGTTGAGATGGTTGAGGTAAGCTAATTTTATGGTTCTGTTTTCAGATTTGGATTAGTTATCTTCCTTGCTGATGGGTTTGAATCGTTTTGAGTAGAGTTAAAGTGAGAACATAGCAAAAGGTTTAAGATTGTTTTCATTTGTGATGAAATGGATTTGATTTTGTAGGTAATCTATGACAAAGTGACTGGCCGGAGCAGAGGTTTCGGATTTGTGACAATGTCCACCGCAGCGGAAGTTGAAGCAGCAGCTCAACAGTTCAATGGCTATGTAAGCAGATACTTGTGTTCGTTACTGTGTCTTTACTTGTTGATAAGAGTTTGGTGTGGACTTTTTTGTTTATTGAATTGCTTGTATTGTTTCTTGTTATTTGCTTGTGTGTAATGTGGAATTCCATGACTTGGATTTTATGAACGTTTTTAGATAGATTAATCATGTTGTTTATCTACTGTTTGGTTTGTGGAGACTACGTGGTTGATGTTGTTTTATATTCTGCTGATAAGATGCATCTTCTTCTAGGTTGCTCGTGTTTCTCATTTGGGATATAAGTAGCCGAGATAGTTTTGAACATTTATTTTTGTCGCATTGTCTTGTTGTTCATACATACCTTCAAGCTTGTCTTTTGGATTTCTTACATTACTACATTGTGGCTGTTTATATTAATCCTGTTGACTTTTAACATTTCAGGAATTTGAAGGCAGACCTTTGAGAGTCAATGCTGGCCCTCCTCCACCTAAAAGAGAGGAATCCTTCTCCAGAGGACCAAGAAGTGGTGGTTACGGTTCTGAACGTGGTGGAGGTTACGGTTCTGAGCGTGGTGGTGGTTACGGTTCTGAGCGTGGTGGTGGTTATGGTTCAGAGCGTGGTGGTGGATACGGGTCTCAGCGTAGTGGTGGTTACGGAGGGTCTCAACGTTCCAGTTATGGTTCGGGGTCAGGTTCGGGCTCAGGTTCAGGAAACCGTCTCTACGTGGGCAACCTTTCTTGGGGTGTTGATGACATGGCCCTTGAGAACTTGTTTAATGAGCAAGGAAAGGTAGTTGAAGCCAGGGTTATCTACGACAGGGACAGCGGTAGATCCAAGGGTTTTGGGTTTGTGACACTCAGTTCTTCTCAAGAGGTTCAAAAGGCCATCAATTCCTTGAATGGTGCTGTAAGTATCATCATTTCTCTACTAGGCCTAATAATTTATTCAATTAGTACTTCTTATTGTTAAATCTAACACATGTTTTACTTCCCTAAAGGATTTGGATGGAAGACAAATAAGAGTCTCTGAGGCTGAGGCTAGGCCACCAAGAGGCCAATTTTGAGCGGCCACGCCACTTTAAGTTCTCAAAAAATGCAGATTCTGGAGGGTAAGACACTTAATTCTCAGCCATGTTCTACTATTTCCATTCTGAATCATAAATTGCCTGACTAAAGACAGTTGAATCTTGAATGTAACAGGTTCTTTGAAGCATATGGGGTTAGTGGACAATGGCGGTTTCAGACAGTAACTAAAACTCACTGCTGGTGCACGCTAGGCTTTATCCGCCTTTGATGCATGAAGGTCGTAAAGGAATGGTCTTTTTTTGAGAAAGATAACAATTAGATTAAAGCAGAGAACCCATGTTTCTTGTCTATTTGAATCCTGCGAGATTGGTTGTAGTTGGATTTGCATTTTCTTCTTGTCTTTTTTTTTGTTGGTATTTTGACACAATTTGGCTTTTTGGCATATGAGAGTGACTGTAGCAGTCTGTTTTTATTTAATGGTTTGATCTTTTATGTTCTAAAAGCAAGTTTTCTTAAAACTTTACAAATTTCGATATGGAACAAGATCATTTCTGCAAGGCTTATTGTCTTGAGGTTGTATAATCAGTTCTTATATGAACCCAAATAAAAGTGCATGCTCTGGATTCATTCAAAACTTTATAGTTTGGTGTAATCCGTATTAAATCCCAATTTTATTAAATGGGCCTGAACGATTGACATGGGATTAAATGGGCCTCAACTCTGAGATTGATTCGGACTTATAGCTCGGCCCATTGACACTTGTTCTAATTATCATTTTTAATCCCTTCAATAATAATAAGAAAAATCATTGCCAGCTACACAAACTATACGCCAACACATCACCACACATGTAGACTATTTTAATGTTTCGCTAACTACACGAACTATTGGTATTACATACGGACATCCCCGAACTATCATCGGTTATGTGTGCAACACCATAACCATCATTTCCAAATAATATAAATGTCTTGTTAACTACACGAAGTATTTCTTTTCTTTGTCAACTACACGAAGTATTTTCATCAATTTTTTTTTAAAACTAATAAGTTAAATAAAACTATATAATATATCAATGTAAATTATATATGTACATTATAACTATTCTAACTTTAAAATTTTAATGTAATAAAGACTAAACTAGTTCCATAAAAAATATATGTGTTCATTAAAAATTTGTTAATTAACTTAAACCTATAATGAACATGTATAATTTAATTAAGTGACACTTTTAAAAATTTAGTTAAATTAATTTCATATAAAACATATGTGTGCATTAAAAATTAGTTAATTAATTTAACTTAAAATTATAAGGGATACTGCATATGTAGAATTTAACTTTAGAAATTATAATGCATATATATAATTAACAATAGTGTATTATTTACTTTTAGTTATTTTTTCATTTTGTAATTTAGTTTTAAAAAAATGATGGAAATATTTCGTGTAGTTAACAATACATTTATATTATCTGGAAATGATGGTTATGGTATATATAATTTACATTGATATATTATATAGTTTTATTTAACTTATAGTGATGTATAATTTAACTAAGTGACTATTTTAAATTTTAAACAATTTAATATAATAAATATTAAATTAGTTAAATTAATTTAACTTAAAAGTATAATGCATTAAAAGTTATAATATATATATATATAATTTATAATAGTCTAATATTTACTTTTTATTTATTTTTTATTTTTTAATTACTTTTTAAAAAAAAAAAATTTGATGGAAAATACTTCGTGTAGTTGACAAAAAAAGAAATATTTCGTGTAGTTAACAAGACATTTATATTATCTGAAAATGATGGTTATGGTGTTGCACACATAACCGATGATAGTTCGGGGATGTCCGTATGTAATATCAATAGTTCGTGTAGTTAGCGAGACATTAAAATAGTCTGCATATGTGGTGATGTGTGCGGATGTCACGTGACGAAGGTATCTTCGACGTCATTAGGTAAGAAATGAAAAAATGAGAGAAAACAAAAAATTGATTGGTTGAACGAAAAGGTAAGAACAAATGATGGGGCATAGCAAATGACCGAAAGCAGGAGAAGGAACATTGAAGTGAAGAAATGGAAGATTATGTCTCAAAAATAAAGAACAAATGTCACTTTTGCTCTTTCACCATCATACTTCCACCACACTTCCTGCCAACAAGTTAGGCCTTTTACTAACTCTTTTCCGTTTTGTCTTCGTATATCAATTAACCCCCATGAAACTAAATATTTATGTATCTATATACACGTATGCTATAGAGTTAGAGATGACGTATATTATTAAAGTTGAGTAATGTTATAGAGGTGAAGGCAACTCTAGTTTAGATCTATATATAACAAACATAATTAAATAATGTCACGCTCCCTTAACTAAACTCGTATTTAGTCGATTATATATGTTTATGTTTTGTTTAACCTGAACAACGATCTCCTATAACAATGACAAACAATATTTGTGTTGTGAACTCGCATGAATCAATTGAATGAACTCTTAAGCCAAATATTTACACACACAACTTAAATTTTGTGGCGTAGATTGAATATAATAAAGATATCTGTCTAAGGCATGCCAAAATGTGGAGATTTCTGTGATACCAACTTTCTAGATATTTAAGATAGAGATATGATTCTGAAAATGGTTTGATCTGAAATTTGTGTTCTGAATTATCCTCCATTTTCAGAAGACAAATGAGAATATTCTGTTTGTAATTAATTTTTGTGGTTTTAAAGTGCTATCAAGACTCATAGTATATTCGTGCGATAAGAGTTTAGGATCACAAAACATAAACATAAACTCGTCTTTAAATTATCTGATTCTATTTAAGTTTCAGTTTCAAAAAGAATCAGATTTTTCATTTTTCATCATGGAATGATAGTTAGGTACTACACTGTTCAACTCTTTGGGAAATATTAATCAGAAGGTTAAGTAACGAATTATGTTTGGAAAATTACATACGAATTAATCATATACATATCTAAATTAACATATACACCATAATGAATGGTGTACTCCCATGGCAGATTTTGGGCGGTTGTAATTGCAAATTGGGGCCCCTTGTTACTTTAGTAGTACAGCTGCAGTTGATATGGTCGTAATTTGGCTCTTTCATCAACATCAGATTAAATATGATTTGTTGGGAATCAAAATTTTTCTAACCAAAAAACAATTAAAATAAAGTTATTTAATTTGTCTGATCAAATTAGAAAGCTTGGAGCCTTTTCACTGCTCTTCTGCATCATCTGTATTCGGCGCACACTTTATCTACAAACATCCATATATGCATCCATCAAATGGGCCATATATATATTAAGAGTATTCTACTTTTCATTTGATGCAAATTTAATACAGTTATATAATCTATATATATAATGAGAGAGTTTCTCTCCTCTTAGAGTGTCCACATCATCACCACATTAATATTATAGATTCCACCAACAATTATTTCAAAATATTTAATTTTATGGTTAATACATCTCATTATCAAAGAAGTAATCATCAATTAATGCATAATTTTAAATAAAGGTTACTTGAATAAGAATAACATAAGTGTAACATATATACATATAAAACATTTAAAATTAATTTTATGTTAATATATAACTTAAAATGAACATAACCCCTAAATATTTAATTAAGAAATAAAAAATAATTATGAAAATTTTATAAAGATATCAATGTTATTTAAGATGGATAAAAGGATTCTTAATGAAATTTATTATACAATTACAAACAAATAATAACTTATTAAAAATAAAATAAAACATTAAAAACTATCATTTTAAGAATAATAAGGAAACCTCAAATATAATTTAGGATGAACAAAAGAATTGAATTGAAATGGAAAGCTATAAGAGTTTTTTTTTTTTTTAATAATAAGAAGATATTCATATTTCATGGAAACATTAACTTAAAGAGATAATAATGAAATAGAAGAAATTCATTTAAAATAATAATATTTTTAGATTAAAAAAATAAATGGTTAAATGTTATAGTAAATGTATGTTTGTATAACTTTTTAAAGATAAAAGAAATAATTTATATTTAAAATTATATTTCGAGAGAGTAATAGTATAGATTCACATTGACGAAAAAAATAAAAAGATTCAATGTATCTTAATATTAAATTAGAGTAAAATATAAGAATAAAAACAATACAATTATATCTACATTATTTCGAGATAGTAATAGTATAGATTCACATTGATGAAAAAAAATAGAAAGATTCATTGTATCTAAATATTAAATTAGAGTAAAATATAAGAATAAAAATAATACAATTATATCTACATTATTGTTTGCTTTCTAAATAAAAATTGAATATGTTTAAATATAGGTAAAAATCTAAATAAGTACTATTGAGAAAATTATAACAAATATATATCTTTCGTAAAATTACATTACACTGAAGCACGAAAACCATATAACTGATAAACGAAAGATAAACTAAGAAGATGAAAATAAGGAAATAGTTTTGAGTTAAGAATCAATTTAAAGTTTTATTATATGTAAGTGCGCATAGAAGATAATAGAAGAGTAGATGTTGGAAAGCGAACAAATGCATCATAGAAGATGACGAAAAAATGTTTGAAGATCCTGAAGTAGAGTAAAATATAAGAATAAAAACAATACAATTATATCTACATTATTTCGAGATAGTAATAGTATAGATTCACATTGATGAAAAAAAATAGAAAGATTCATTGTATCTAAATATTAAATTAGAGTAAAATATAAGAATAAAAATAATACAATTATATCTACATTATTGTTTGCTTTCTAAATAAAAATTGAATATGTTTAAATATAGGTAAAAATCTAAATAAGTACTATTGAGAAAATTATAACAAATATATATCTTTCGTAAAATTACATTACACTGAAGCACGAAAACCATATAACTGATAAACGAAAGATAAACTAAGAAGATGAAAATAAGGAAATAGTTTTGAGTTAAGAATCAATTTAAAGTTTTATTATATGTAAGTGAGCATAGAAGATAATAGAAGAGTAGATGTTGGAAAGCGAACAAATGCATCATAGAAGATGACGAAAAAATGTTTGAAGATCCTGAAGCATCAGATATATGTATGCACATGACTAAACGAAATTCATCGGATATATGTATGCACTATAGATAATTTGGTTTAGTAAACCAGACTATCATATTCAACATCGGGTTAAATCGTCGAACCATGTAAGCATAGTAGGATAGATAAGATAAAGACATTTATGATTTGGTCAAAACTTTCCTTTAGGTATTATGGTCTTGCTTCAATAGATAAATTATGCTCTCCAAACCTATTGAAGTGGCATGAATATTACGTTTATATATTTTCATAGATTGATGTTCAAACTTAGCAAATTTACTTTTAGTACGAGGTACGATAGGTCAAAACATCAATAAAAATATACTTACAAGATTTGTTTATGGAAATAACTCTCTTTTTGATAAAGTCCATTGATAAATACCGAGACCGATTCATCTTTTATA